GCTAGTCGCCTCAGCTGAAAAAGGATATTGCAGAGTTGGGAAAGGTTCAGAAAGGCAACCAAAATGATCGAGGGGAGGGAGCGACTCCCCAACGAAGAAAGGTTGCAGCGTTTGGGGTTTTTTAATTTAGAGAAAAGGCAAGTAAGAGGTGACATGATAGAAGTTTTTAACATAATGCATGGTACAGTACTGAGAAAGTGGAGGCAAAAAAGTTCCCCTCCCTCTCCCCTAACACTAGGACTCACAATAAAAAAATTCCACACGAAAGCTCATACCAATAACAAGCTTAGTTGGTCTCTGAGGTGCTACTGGAAGGATTTTTTTTATTTTGTTTTGACTATGGCAGACCAACACGGCTACCTACCTGTAGCTAGAACTAGGATTCACAGACATCTCAGGAAGCTGAGTATTGAAAGATTCAGGGCAGATAAAAGGAAGGACTTCTTCAGGCAGCGGATAGTTAAACTATGGAACTCTCTCCCACTGGAGGCAGCGATGGCTTCCAGCCTAGATGGCTTTACAAGAGGACTGGACAAATTCATAGAGCCAAAGGGCTGTTGATGGCTTTGAGCCATGATGGCTGTGCTCTGCCACCAAGCCAGATTTGAGATTGTAAGCTCCTTGGGAGCAGAGACCTGTGCTCCGGTATCGTTTAAAGTGGCAGGCATGTTGTTGGTTCTCTATAAACAATCAAGGATAAGAGAGGCGAAACAGGAAAGAGTGTGTGACAGACTGTTTGGGGGGAGAGGAGAAAGAGGGTCAGCAACAGCAGACAAGAAAAAGAGCAGAGGAGAATGAAAAGGAGAAGCGCCTCAGCATCAGCACCGCTGTCCCTCACCTGGTGCCCTGTTTCGGACTACAGTTTTTTGGGGGGCTGATGGGAATTGTAGTCCTAAACATCCACAGGGTACCAGATTGGTGAAGGCTGCTCCAGAGTCTCTCAAAACCCTGCTGCGAGTCATCTTAGAATCATCAAATTGTGGAGGTGGAAGGGGCCCAAGGGTCATCTAGCCCAACCCCCTGCAGTGGTGATAAGGGCAGGTTCAGACATGCAGGCCACCGTTTGATGATGGCTCGACCCTAAGTGTGTGAACTGACTCCACTGAATGGCTCTGTTGGTGGTGGTGGTGGATTCTTAAATCACGTAAGTCGCCCTAAGCAGACAGTCCTCAAGGGGCAAGCGTGAAGGTGTGAACCAGCCCTGAGTCCCTTGGGTGTCCAGAACAAAGGCTGAGGGTCCAGCCTGAGTCTCGCTTTCTCTGGCTAGTGGAAATACAGTTCCTCATTCCTTTGGCATGCTAATCATTGGTGTTGCCTGGGCAAAGAGGACAGGAACAAAAGTAGCTTTTTATTTTATTTTTGGGGAAAGTTTCAGTCCGCTGTGCTTTAATTGGGCTGTCCGCCTTGTTTTCACTGCATGTTAATTTCGTGCTGTTCTTGTTTTGCAACTTGCGAAATGGTTAAAAAATAAATATTGAGCTGCCTTTTCTCAGCATCTGTAAATTTCCACTTGCTTAGACTAGCCGGGCCAGTTGGTGTAGTATCTGAAGGCTGGTCAGGGAGTTCTGTTCTTTTGAGCCATGCCCCTTCCCCCCAAATCATGTAAAAAGGGTCAGGGGCAAAGCCCATCCTTCTGGCACAATACATAGGCATTTGCTCTTGGGTTCCAGTTGTGTGGGGATTAAATGAAGACTAGGAGCTTGGAGACCTGGGTTCAAATCCCCCACTTGGCCATGAAGTTCCCTGGGTGACCTTTGCAGCTGGTCACTGCATCTCAGCCTCGCCCACCTCACAGGGCTGTTGTGAGGATTAAATGGGGAAGAAGAGACCTATGTATATCACCTTGGAGGTAAGATGCAATATACAAAAAGTACATTCCTTTTTCCCAAAAAGAGACACCCATGTTTTTACTACACCCCAAACATTATCTGGTAAGGCTGCTGCTGGCTGGCCAGTCCGCACCAGATCCAGTCTGCGGGAATTAGGATGCCATTCTTGATAGAACTGATCTGTTGTTCTGTAATCCTTGCAATTCCTGGGGGTCTGGATGATGACCCTTTGGGTTCTTCTCAGCTGTACAATTCTATGATACTATGATTGACAGTTTCTTGGGAAACCACTTAAGGTCAAACCTAGGCAAGGGCCTTTTTTAAGGTTTTGCAAACTCTTGCAGTTGGCTGGCAGAAAGTTCTGATGCAACCAGAATCCTCTGGGTCTACTAAGACTTGGTTAATCCAGGAAGGAACAAACTGTTTATGGGGCAGCCGAGAGCAACTCATCTCTGGCCTGTTGTTTTCCTGGCTCCTTCTGCCTGTTGAACAATATACCCGAGAGAGAGGATGTTGCTAAATAACCTGCATTATGAAAATGGGGTTTGACTGTATAACTTGGCAGAAGAGACAGCAGTTTTGAGCAACGCAAGCTGGCTAGGAAAGTATGTCTCCATAAAGCGGCCTTCCCCAAACAGGTGCCCTCCAGATGTTTTGGATTTACAACGCTATCGGTCCCAGTCATCTGATGGAGCTGCAGTTCAAAACATCTGGAAGGCACCAGGTTTGTTTGTTGCATCTGAGCATGGATGGAGGAAGAAATCCACAACAGTTTTCCTTGTACAGCAAACCTTTCTGAAACAATGCATGGACCAAAACACAGCCATCCTTGGAAAGTCACACTTCTCCGAATTTTGCAATGCGGTTTTCCAGCCAAGCCATGTGAGCAGAACAGTGCATCTCCAAGGATAACGTGTGCATAAAAATGCATGTATTCTACGTGGGCAGCATCATTGGGAAATGGTGATAGGCCTCCAAGAACACATGGCAGATTATGGGATGATATCTTCGTACAAAAACCGAAATGGCACAAAAGTGAAATGTCATTAAACAGACATTTGGTGCTTCTGCTGGGGGGTGGGCAGGATTGTTGAATATCGATCTTTGCTTCTCATATAAATAAGTGAAAACAATAAAATATTTGAGGGGGGGGAATGCATATATATCATAAAGATAGCATACCTGAATGCAATATATGTAGGGAAATTGCTTTGCCAAAATGTGGAGATTGGGAGACAGTCATAGGGAAATTCTGGTGCATTTACAAGAGGGCTTAAGAAAAATTCACAGACTGGTGTGGAAAGGGGAGAACTCAGCTTGAGATTGCAAAAACTGAGAAACTGGAGTGGACAGCTTTACCTGGAGGGGCTTAACCCTAGCAGCGCCAGCGGCAGGCCGCGAGGTATACATAGTTCTGTCCTTGAACCACCTCGAAGCAGCCGCACCCTGGGAGGTTGCCCCAGAGCTCTTCCTGGTTTCATTCTTTCCTCCCTGCCCTCCCTCTCTCCTGCCACTCAAGTGAGGCATTTGCAACCATCAATGTTTAAACTCCTTAACCAGACTCTCTGCAAACTGCTGCTGGAGGGGACCATCTCAGGGAGTCTTGCCAGGAGCGACTCAGGTCGCCTAGGAGTACAGTGTTTTCAGCGGCGTTTGGGAGCCCATCTGGTGGCTTGCAGCATAACTCAAGAGAAGATCTAAGGGGCTGCTGGATTTGCACAACGGTGCACAGCATCGTCAAGTAAGACATTAACCTGGTGGATTTGGGCAGGTGCCTGTCAATGGCCGAGATCGGCTGCTCCTTGCTACCTTTCAGGCAGATCTCAGAAACATTCTTGTTTCCGATTGTGTTTAATTGAGGGGGTAGAGTAAGGCTGTGTACGCGTTGCCAGCTTAAAATGCCACACGATTGTTCTTTTTCCTCATAAAATTGTGAAACTGGAAGGGACTCAAAGGTGCATCTAGTCCAAACCCGCCCCTGCGAGGGTGGTAAGGATGTTACCTATCATTGTCAGCCTTATTTATATACCCCGTAAAATCACTGACTGTAGAAATGTAGAGTTGGAATAATAATAATGATAATAATTTATTATTTACCCCGCCCATCTGGCTGGGTTTCCCCAGCCACTCTGGGTGGCTCCCAGCAGAATATTATTATTAATAATAAGAAAGTGATAAAACATCAATCATTAAAAACTTCCCTAAACAGGGCTGCCTACAGATGTCTTCTAAAAGTCAGACAGTTGTTTATTTCCTTGACATCTGATGGGAGGGTGCTCCACAGGGCGGGCGCCACTACCGAGAAGGTCCTCTGCCTGGTTCCCTGCAATCTCACTTCTCACAGTGAGGGAACCACCAAAAGGCCCTTGGATCTGGACCTCAGTGTCCAGACTGAATGATAAGGGTGAAGACACTTCTTCAGGTATACTGGGATCCCGAGGGTCATTTAGTTCAACCCCCCTGAAAAGCACATTTTTGCAAAGAAATTATTCCTCACTATAATGCGTTCCTCCGCCCCCCCCCATTATATGCATCTTTATGCACGCTTTACCCAAGCAAGTATATGGTTGCATATATAGGGAGAACTGTGCTACAAAATTTGGAGAGCCATGAATTTTGAAGAAGTGCGGGGTTTCTATTCTGATATCATTTTGCAAATTGGGGAACTTTCCCTTTAAATGCAAACTGAATCAAATCCCTACCAGCAGTCAACCTAGATGATGTTCTTCTGCACCAGCCTCTTTGGAATCACAGGGAGTTGTGTGAGATTGCGGCTGTTTTTCCCCTGCTTTGCAAACCATTTTGAGCAGCCTTCCCCACCTTGGCACAGCTTTTTGATGCTGTTTGGTGTTGGTGGGAGTGCAGCTGCCCTTGCTGGAGCTGATGGGAGTCCAGAACATCTGGAAGGGCACCAGGTTGAGGAAGGCTGCCTTTGAGGGTGTGCACAGCAGGGTTTGGTCCGAGGCTGGTTCTCCGCTTCAACAATCTCATCTTTGGTGCCACATGGGGGAAGTCGTAAAAAGTTACTCATTAACATCTCCATTATTTACCCAGAATGTTGAACCTCCTTGCAGGTGCATAACATTCTCCTTTGGGTGGGTGGGGAGGATGGATGCCTTGAACCCTTGCTTTATCCTTGCGGGGAAGGCAGGCAGGCAGGCAGGCAGGCAGGCAGGCAGGCAAGCGATCCTGTGTCCTGAACGACCTGGCAGAAATATTTAGCATCCAGAAAGGATGGGGAAGCCAGTGTGCTTCAGCAGTCAGGTGGGGCTTTGTGTCGCTGTGTGTTTTGCAAGATTCACACACTCTCTTGGATACAGGGCGTATGCTGGCATGTTGAGATAAGCCGGGAGGGGGGACCTGCACGGTCACCAAGCCAAACATGAACACAGTGGCCTGCAGGGATGTCTCTTGCCAGACGCAGCAGGGAAGGTATGTCGCTGTGCCAGACAGCAGCTCCTGCAATTTAGCGGGGAAGGGGACAGAAGCCCATCGTGGTGCAAAGAGCCAGGCTTTTGCCAGAGTCGGGGTGGGGCAGTAAATTTAAGGAGCGGTGGTGGCTTTGCTCCAGACCTCTGTTGCCTGGCCAGGAAAGGAGTTAAGCCAGGAAAGGAGTTAATTTATTTCATGAAATTTACACATCGCTGGATTGTAAAAAGAAAAAAGCAAACTAAAAGAGAGAGAGAAAGATAAAGCAAGACAGTATCCACAAGAAAAATTAACATTAAGGATTTAAAACTTTCAGAAAGTTAAAATAACAATAGGCTGAAAACGTTGTGTGGGCTAAACAGGAACGTTTTTAGCAGGTATTGAAGAGAGGACAGTGAAGGCAACTACCTGATATCAATAGGCAGGGAGTTCCAAAGTCTAGGTGCTGCCACATTTCAGTTGCAGTCCCCGGTCGGTGGGTTGTCTCACTCCTTATACAGGCGTCCCACCCCCTTACGTGCGATTGATTCATGTGCGACCGTGTATATGCAGGGTGCCGGGAAATAGATAGATAATTTAATTCAAACCTGGGAATGGCAGGAGAGAGCTGGGGAGTCCTCATGGCTTGCAAGGAGACCCTTCCCAGAGCCTGAAGAGGACATCAGTGAGGGCGGACGAAGCCCTGAAGAGACCTGAGGTGCAGCGGAGCTTTGTTTAGGCTGCTCAGCCTCCCCGCCTAATAGCTGATGTCCGGGGTAGCGCAGCAGCATTGCCTGCTTTCCCATGCATCCTCCAGCCCCCTGCCAGCACCAGAGCTCTAATTCTAGTTATGGATATTTTTGGTTATGGATTGTAGAGAGATCGGCAGATCGGCAGAGAGGGCGCTCTCCACTTACACAGATTTCCGCTTATGTGTGTGGGGGTCCAGAACGCAATCCCCACATAAGCGGGGGGATGCTTGTATAGCCATCTGATTGCTTTCGCTCTGCGGAAGAGAGTCTCTTAACAGGGATTATCTCACCAGGAAACTGTGTCTGTGGTGGCTCCTCACAGAACTCTAGCCCAATGGTTGCCATTAATTTGATTTGAACTGATTTTATAATGAACTGATTTTAGAATGCTGTATTATTTTACTGTTGTTAACCGCTCTGAGCCCGGCTTTGGCTTGGGAGGGCGGGATATAAATAAAATTTATTATTATTATTATTATTATTATTATTATTATTATTATTATTATTTTGGGGCTCCCTCCTGATGTATATCCAACAGGCTCCATTTTTAATGTCCTTTTTGCACCTGGTAAAGATGTTCCTCTTTCAATGAACCAATTAAGTGGATTTTTTAAATAAAGAAAACTCTCTCTCTGTATCTGTATTGGTCTTAAAATTGTTTTACATTGGTACCTCGGGTTAAGTACTTAATTCGTTCTGGAGGTCCGTACTTAACCTGAAACTGTTCTTAACCTGAAGCACCATTTTAGCTAATGGGGCCTCCTGCTGCCGCCGCGCCGCTGGAGCACGATTTCTGTTCTCATCCTGAAGCAAAGTTCTTAACCTGAAGCAGTATTTCTGGGTTAGCGGAGTCTGTAACCTGAAGCGTATGTAACCCGAGGTACTACTGTATATAAAATCATTTCAACAGTCCAAGTTCACGGTGTTGCTATTAGTATATCAGCCCTGAGCAACTTTGGACCAGTTTACCTATGAGATCACCTTACACCCACTTGACCACTAGTGGAACTAGCTCTGTTACACGTGCTATATAATACCTGTTCCGCATTTGTAAGAACTTAGTATTTGCTGCAGCACCTACACTTTGGAACTCCCTGCCTGTTGATATCAGGTTAGTCATCACTGTCCTGCTAAAAATGCTTTTGTTCAGACAAGCCGACCCAGATGCTTAGAAAGTCGATGTGAGTTTTAATCTGTTTTTAGTCTAACCTTTTGAAACGCTTCAGTTTAATTAGAGATAATTTTATTGTATCTTTTTCATAAACCGCTTTTAGGATTTATTTCTCTTTTCTTTATTTTACAATCAAGCGGTGTATAACTTGTACGAAATACAATCATACCTTGGAAGTCGAATGGAATCTGTTCCAGAAGTCCGTTCGACTTCCAAAATGTTCGGAAGCCGAAGCATGGCTTCTGATTGGCTGCAGGAAGTTCCTGCAGCCAATTGGAAGCTGACAAAGCTTTCAGCAGATGTTCAGCTTTCAAAAATAGTTCGCAAACCAGAACAGACACTTCCAGGTTTGCGTCATTCGGGAGCCAAAACATTCGAGAACTAAGCTGTATGAAAACCAAGGTACGACTGTAATAAAATGAAGAGAACATGCTCTTATCATGCAATTGCTCTGAGATGTTTTTTGTTTTTGTTTTTCCTTTTCTGGAAGCGATTGTTAAATGAAATAAATATTAATGCTGACCTACTTTCCTGGCTTGAGGTGGGATTGAGATGCACCTTGAACTTGGCTGCCAAAATACTGGCATCTGTTCAGGCTCCCGCTATTCAGGAAATTCTTGACTGGCCACACTTACAAGAAGAGAGGTGGGGTAAATGGGTGCAGGCGGCCATTATAGAAAATGGGGACGGGAGGAAGTGGGTTAAAAGAAATAAAAGAGGTGAAGGATAATAGCAGGCTGAGAAAAGGTGTGGCCAAGTTATGCATTTTGTGGATTCTTTCTGCAGTGAATCAACACCTCCCTTTTTAAATAGTCCGCTTCTGCAAGGAATTTCTCATTGCCTAGGGAGAGTTCAATGCAGACTTCAAGGGCTCATCCTGGCTGCGTTTTGGTCACTGCATGTGTGAGAGAAGAGCGACTCGTATTGCTCCTTAGCATCCTGGGGTAGTAGCTTGCCAGGCAGTGAGCTAGAACCAGAGGACTCAATTTCTACAGCAAATCGCAGCTCATGTGCTACAGAAATTCAGGGTAGGTAAGAAGGCTGAGCTAGGTTTCCACTTATGGAAATTTTGGGCAGGCAAGAAGAAGAGACGGAGGGGGGGGTATTTTACACATGCTTTTTACAGCTAGTTCTTGGGAGTCACCATCCAGCCCTCAACACACAGCTTTGATGTCGTTTTCTTCTTTAAAAATGGGCTTCCTCTTGAGATGATCCCAGCCAGTCAGGAATCCTGTTGGGAATGGAATGCCACAAAGCTAGCACAGAGCAAGGGCAGTTCTTCCTGCCCTTATTCTGAATAGCCTGTTTTACCCAGTTTTTCTGGCTCTTCTCTAAAAATCATTCTAAGGAGAGGTGGGTGGGAAACACATTTTGCACTGGCTGTTTTGATTTGATTGTTTCTGCATCTTGTGCACCCAGCACTGCTTCCATTCCGCTGCAGTTCATCTTCTACCAAAAAGACTACATTAGTCTGTCTGCTGCGGCGAAATTATGTAACTTCAGGTCCCTTTTCTATTTTTGTCGGAATTCTTTGACATCTGCGCTGTGGCTGATTTGTATCTCTAAAGAGGCCTGGCTCAGTAATGTCAGGATATATAGCCCCATCTGAACGCCTCCCACAACATAGGCGAGTGGTGAGAAGTGGGAAAAAATTGCTTTGAGAAAGGGTGTTTTATTGTTTTCCTTTGTAAATAAGGACTCGGAATTCCTAGGCTCTCACAATCCCAAACGCCTCATTTTGGAGGGGCTATACAGTGAAGGCCTGACATCAATAGGCAGGGAGTTCCAAAGTGTAGGTCACAACAAGTTTAAGTTCTTTCAGCTGTGGAAATGGGTATTAGGTGGCACCCATAAAAGTGCCAGTTCCGCGGATTGAATCGGCAACCAGTGCAGTTCTCTAAGAACCACACAGAACTGGCAACGCCTCTTCTGAGATAATATAAAAATTTGCTGCGATCTGACCTTATTCAGCACTTGGTACACTATAGCCCGTGTCTGTAACTGGATTCTGTTACGTAGGTTGACTTGAAGTTCATAAAAAATTATTGTACAGTGGTACCTCAGGTTACATACGCTTCAGGTTACAGACTCCGCTAACCCAGAAATAGTGCTTCAGGTTAAAAACTTTGCTTCAGGATGAGAACAGAAATCGTGCTCCGGCGGTGCGGTGGCAGCAGGAGGTCCCATTAGCTAAAGTGGTGCTTCAGGTTAAGAACAGTTTCAGGTTAAATACGAACCTCCGGAGTATTTAACCCGAGGTACCACTGCATATACAAACGGAATTCTGTGACATGACAGCATGTGTTTGTATCTTTCCTTCTGTGTAAAGCCATGCCTTCAGCCTGTGAGTGTTCATGGAGCTCCACTCCCTGAATCTAAGCATGAGGAGAAGCTGCCATGTTTGCAGAGGTCAAAATATGGAGTCCAGAAATTCTCGGGGGCTGTGTGCAAATCGTGTTTGGTACACATTGCAATGTGCTGGTTGGGGAGAGCCACCCAGTAGTTTGAACCCCCTCCTTAAGTAGTGGGGCTGCTGGCACTTGAGTTTTCTGCCTGGGGCAATGACTTTTTTGGAGGCACCAATCCTAACCTCGTGGGTTCCTGTATACTTGCTGAGGCCCATCTCTCAATCATTTTCATTCCTATATCAACCCTCGTGTGCTGTCTCTTTCCTTAAAAAACGCCCCCAGGTCTTCCGTGGCAAGTCTGAACGGAGGCGCTGATGAAGACTTAATCCAACCTGCCTGTCTCTCAGGCGGGAAAGTTCTTCCCAGAGGAAAACTCTCTGCCCAGATCAGCTCGTGACCATGAACACCATCCTGAGTTTGAAGCTTCCCCGGCTGCTCAACACTCACCAGGTTCCCAAAGTGAGTAAAGGGGGTCTTTGCAACATGGGTCTCGTACAAGGCGAATGCCACCCTGGGTAAGGCAGTGTGGCATAATAGTGTGACTAAGGAATGTGGGTAGCGCTGTGGGTTAAACCACAGAGCCTAGGACTTGCCGATCAGAAGGTCGGTGGTTCGAATCCCCGTGACGGGAGGAGCTCCCACTGCTCGGTCCCTGCTCCTGCCAACCTAGCAGTTCGAAAGCACGTCAAAGTGCAAGTAGATAAATAGGTACCGCTCCGGCGGGAAGGTAAACGGCATTTCTGTGTGCTGCTCTGGTTCGCCAGAAGCAGCTTAGTCATGCTGGCCACATGACCCTGAAGCTGTATGCCGGCTCCCTCGGCCAATAAAGCAAGATGAGCGCACAACCCCAGGGTCGGCCACGACTGGACCTAATGGTCAGGGGTCCCTTTACCTTTACCTTTAGGACCTGGGAGACCAGGGTTCGAAACCCCTCGCTCGGCCCTGAAGTTTGCTGGGTGTTACCTTGGGCCAATCACTGCCAGTCTAATTATTATTATGATAGTTTTTTATTAGAATTGACTGGGGTAAGTAACAATTATAATGTTATTATTTGTACCCTGCCCATCTGACTGTGTTGACCAAGCCGCCTACATCTCAGGGTTGTTGTGGAGATTAAATGACGAGGGGAAGAACGATGTGTGCCGCTTCAAGCTGCTTGGAGGAAAGGCGGAATGCAAATGAAACAACAACAACAACAATTTTATTTATATGGCATCCACCTGACTGGGTTGCCCCAGCCACTCTGGGTGGCTTCCAGCAAAGTATTAAACTACAGTAAAACCTCAAACATTAAAAACTTTCCTATAGAGGGCTGCCTTCAGATGTCTTCTAAAAGTCAGAGCGTTGTCTATTTTATTGGTTTTATTTAGAGCATATTCTTCCCACCCTTCCAGGAATTCTGGGAACTGTAGTCTGTTAGGAGTGCTGGGGATTGCAGCTTTGTGAGGGGTGAACTACAGTTCCCAGGATACTTGGAGGTGGGGATATGCTCTAAATGTAGCGAGGGTGTGCAGCTTTAATTTCCATCTTGACTGGCCAACATGGTATGAAACCAGGATGGTCTCAATTCTCTTCTCTGCTGCATCGTCTTCTTTAAAGAGGGCAAAGCTCCCAGGTGGGGCTTGGAGGAGGCGACCAGCACAACACTAGCAGAGGCAGAGGTGCCCCAACTATGGGGCAAAGTAAGGCAACTGCTACAGGTGCTGGAGAGGAGTGGTGGCAGGCCCCATCCCCAGACTGCCCTTTCTAAGCCCCCTGGCCATCCCCCTCTGAAATATACTTGGAGTCGAGAGTGGATTTCATGCTCTTTATTCAGCTCATAGTGGTGAGGAGGAATGGAAGTTCCCCCAGAATGTCTGCTTTATATACATTATTTACACAATGGGCCCCATGTGATTGGCTAATTCCAGGATTCACCTGTAGGCCAATCAGGTTGCGGATTCACTTCCACCTGGAGCTGGATTGGGTGGCTCCTGTGGACCAATCAGACTGCTGCATTATGGACCTTATTGTTCTAGGACCAATCAGACTTCTGCCTTTTGGATCCTATTCAATTCAGTACATAACACCCTCTGAGGGCAGGTGTATGTTTGCTCCCTGAATCCCTCCACCTCCCCAACCGGTCTGCTGCCCCCAGATGTGCTGAAGGATGGACTTAGCATCTCTAGTATTCGAGTGAGCTTCATCTGACAGTCTGCTTGGCTTCTGTATGTGGAATGGCTGGGGGGTGGGGTGGGCAGGTTTGCACCATTTTGTCCTTCAAACCAGGCTGCAAAATATTTATCCATTTATTTCATCGAATTTATACACTGCTTGATTCTTAAAAAACAACAACCAACAACCTCAAAGCAGTTTACAAAAAAAGATAAAGCAGTACAATTGTCACCAGGAAGAATTAACGACAAGAATTTAAAACTTTCAAACAGTTAAAATAACAATGTGCTAAAAGCAGATTTTAAAAGTGCATCAACTTCCTTAAAACCCGGACAGACATGTCTAAACAATAATGTTTTTAGCAGGTGGTGAAAAGAATACAATGGTGTCAATAGTCAAGGGAGTTTCAAAGTGTGGGTGCTGCCTCACTGAAATAACTCGTTCTTACAAATGTGGAACGGGTATGACGTAGCACCTGTGAAATGCCAATTCTGCCAACCGAAGTGGCTGAGTGGGCTCCTATGGGGCAAGGTCTTGGGCCAGTCGTGAGAGGAAGGGCACCCTCTGACCATGTTTGAACACATGCTGTGCCCACTGAAGTCACAGCCCTCACTTGAAGGAAGGTGGGCGGCAGGAAGACTGGGCTGGACCTCTGCCCAAGAACCTGCCCCAAATACTGCCAGAGCAGACCCTCCAAGTGTCCCTTTTTCCAGGGGCAGCCCCAGATTTACAGAAGCCGTCCCGGTTTCTGATTTGATCCCTGAATGTCCTGCTTTTTCCTTAGGCTGCCCCTATTTTCATCGGAAAAACATTGGAGGGTATGGAGTTATGTGACCCCCGAGCCAAGGAGATAAGTAACTATACAGTGGTACCTTGGTTCTCAAACTCAATCCATTCCACGAATCTGTTTGACTCTAAAGCCAAGGTGCGGCTTCTGACTGGCTGCAGGTGCTTCCTGTGCTCAAGCGGAAACTGCTTCGACTTCCTAAAAGCGTCCACAAACCAGAACACTTACTTCTGGGTTTGCAGTGTTCGGGAGCCGATCTGTTCAACAACTAAGTCATTCAGGAACCAAGGTACCACTGTACAAACTTTAGAAGACATCCGAAGGCAGCCCTGTATAGGGAAGATTTTTTAAAATGTTTAGTGTTTTATTGTGTTTTTGTATAGTTTTGGAGAAAAGACCCTGATGTTGGGAAAGATTGAGGGCACAAGGAGAAGGGGACGACAGAGGACAAGGTGGTTGGACAGTGTTCTCGAAGCTACAAACATGAGTCTGACCAAACTGCGGGAGGCAGTGGAAGACAGGAGTGCCTGGCATGCTCTGGTCCATGGGGTCACAAAGAGTCGGACACGACTAAACGACTAAACAACAACAAATAGTTTTGGAAGTCACCCAGAGTGGCTGGGGCAACCCAGTCAGATGGGTGGGGTATAAATAATAGAATAATTATATGTATTTATTTATTTAGGATATCCCTTGTTTCATCAGAGAAATGTTGGCACATATGCCAGAGCAGACTGCTCCAGGCCAGAAGGAAACCCTGGTTTGGACATAGGAAGCTGCCTTGCATTGAATCAGACCATTGGGTCTATTTGGCTCCACATTGTCTGCACTGACTGGCAGCAGCTCTCCAGTGTTCCAGGCAGGAGTCTCCCCCAGCCCTACCTGGAACTGCTGAGGATTGGGGCCCTTTTGCACGTGAGGCAGATGCTCCATGACTGAGATACAGCTCTTCCCATGACTCTGCGTGAACATTTAAGTTCCATGAGCAGTAACTCTTGGAAGAATTTCAACCTCCCAGGACATTTGGAGGCAAACATGAAAGTCACCGCAATCTACCCAAGCAAGTTTCAGCATGAAGCGAAGTTGGCACTGTGGGCCTTAGGTCCCAGCTAATCCCGGGAGCGGCTTGTTTGTGACAGAAAAGACCTCTTGAGGTGTTGGTCTAGCTAGCTTATTGAACTTGCTTTGCTTATTCATCGGTGGCTGCTAGGCAGGAGAGGGTCACACCCATACAGACTGAATTCTGTATTCTCCATTTCTGTTCTGCAGAGTACTAGCTGCCACTCCGATTTGCATTTGGCGTGGCTTTCTGAACAACGCCTTTCTTTTTCTGAGGGTCTCATGAGGGCATACGGCATGCCTACAGACCTGGGTGGCTCCTTCGTAACTGAAAGTAGGGTCTGGAGAGGAATGGACACACCTGTCCTTTTCAATTTTAAGTTTATATTATCCCATTTTTGAATGATGATGATGATGATGATACTATAATTCATTTATACCCCGCCCATCTGACTGAGTTGCCCAAGCCACTCTGGGTGGTTTCCAAAACATAAAAACATGGTAAAACATCAAGTATTACTAGTAACAATCTGATCCAACATAAAAGTCACTATAGCTTTAAAATAAACAACTTATATCAAACAAAGCAACAATCCATCAGAATCTAATACTAAACAGTAAAATTAAACATCAGCAAGTAATAATTAAACAGTTCAGCCACAGTAAAGAATTACCTATCAATAATCAATAAAAGTAACAGCAAATCACGATGCATAAAATACCACAAAACATACAAAACCATGTAAAAGGATCAGACTGAGAAACAAAAAGGCACAACTTATAAAACTTTTTTTTTATATATCCCTGAACTCTCTTCCCAGCTGCTGCTGCTGCTGCTCTTAAAGTCATAGCCTGGGAAAGGCTAGGTGGGGAAAGGTAGGGGGAGCACCATTGCCTGATGAGGAACAGGAAGCCTCGCTCTCCTCACAAGTTGGCAAACTTGTCTTTTTAAAGCCCATGTAGAAAATGGTGCAGATTTTTGCATGTATTTCCCCTGATCCAATGCATTTTTTTCAAAGTCATTTTCACTAATGTACACATTTTTTGTAAGCAGTTTTCCCTCTAATACTTGCTGTTTAAAATATTTTAATGGCTTGTGGACTGCACTGCAACATTTGGATAGCTTGAGACTTCGGAGGAAAGCTACATTTTGGTTCAGGAAGTACAGATGAGTAGATTGCGATTAAAAATGTGAGCCCAGCAAATGCCACCCAACTGCATGTGGCAACAAAATGTTATACTGCGAACATCGTGCCAGCCTTTTCATGTGCCAGGAGACTCTTTGCTGTGTTTTCTTCAATAGAACTAAAGGAATCCCTCTCAGGGATTAAGGCCCCCCCCCCCCGAAATCTACAAAACTTACCTGTGAATACAACTACAGTCTTAATGAGCCATCACTGAGTCCAGCAAACAGAAAGAACTTTTATTATAAGTTGTGTTCATAATTGTGGTGGTGGAGACATCTGGTGGACATTTCCAAAGCAAAAACACAGCAGTAAGCTTGAAACATCTGGCCTGCATTTTCTAGGCTCTTTACATCAGTGGTTCCCAAAGAGGGTGGTACCGCCCCCTAGCAGATGCTGGGATTCCCCGGGGGGGGGGGTTGCTAAGAGGCAAGGGGGCAACAGGGAGGCACTGGAGGTGTAAATGACAATCAGATTTCAAAAAGCTGGTATGACTGGATCAAGTTTATTTTGTTGAAAACAAACTAGTTTTAACTGAGTTTTGAAAAAAATGTGCAATGAATTGTTACTGTTTTGACTTTTATTGTGTTATTCTTCCTTGAAGGGTCATGCAAACCACTATTCTGAAAAGAGTGGTTTTTGTGGAGAAGGGTAGGAGTACAGTTTATGGAACCGGGGGTGGGGTGGGGGGTGGCGGCCCTCAAAAAGTTTGGGAACCACAGATCTACACTGCCCTGTTCACTCTGCATCCAGGGCGCTGGTTACACAATGTAAGCAGCAATCTGGATCTATTCTGTTGTTTCTTACGAAATGCTGCATTTTCATGTGTTTCTACCAAAACCAGCTGTGATCCAAATTGAGACAAAGGATGCCCTGGCTGCGTCTTAAGTTGGGAATGGGTGTACAGTCCTAGTTTATGTTCTTTGAAAGCTTTTAACCAGCCTTCAAGAACCCATGAAAGTTTCAAAATTAATCTCCGGAGGTCCTGTTTGCAAAGCAGGCATCACAGTGCCTTTGTGGTTGTTGCTGGAGCTCCCTAGCCCTCCTCTCCCGCTTAGGAATATTGAGGTTCACTGTGAACTATGCAAGTTGTAGCAAATTTGGTTCATCTCCAGTTTGTTGGCTGTCCTCCTGCAGGTTTTCCGAGAGAAGGGCATTCTTTTTGGGTACCGTCACCCGAGAAGTTCTGCAACAGATTGCATCGTCAGCCTTTTCCAAATGACAAATGAAACTGTGAATATTTGGACGCATTTTCTGCCTGCCTGGTATGTGATTATCTGTTTGTGCACTTGAAATATATAAAAGGAGCTGTGTTCCTTGACAATGGTCTCAAAGGAGCTGTGGGCTTTTGATTTAAGGGGTGGGACGCCGCTGGCGCTGTGGTCTAAACCACAGAGCCTAGGGCTTGCCGATCAGAAGGTTGGTGGTTTGAATCCCCATGACAGGGTGAGCTCCCGTTGTTTGGTCCCTGCTCCTGCCAACCTAGCAGTTTGAAAGCACATCAAAGTGCAAGTAGATAAATACTTCCGGCAGGAAGGTGAACAGCGTTTCCATGCGCTGCTCTGGTTCACCAGAAGCGGCATAGTCATGCTGGCCACATGATCTGGAAGCTGTCTGCGGACAAACGCCAGCTCCCTCGGCCTATAGAGCAAGATGAACACACAACCTCAGAGTTGTCCGCAACTGGACCTAATGGTCAGGGGCACCTTTACCTTTACCATTACCTTTACCATTTCACAAACTCATAGAATCATAGGATTGTAGAGTTGGAAGGGACTCTGAGGTTCATCTAGTCCAGGGGTCAGCAAACTTTTTCAGCAGGGGGCTGGTCCACTGCCCCTCAGACCATGTGGGGGGCCGGACTATATTTTGAAAAATAATATGAATGAATTCCTATGCCCCACAAATAACCCAGAGATGCATTTTAAATAAAAGGACACATTCTACTCATGTAAAAACATGCTGATTCCTGGACTGTTCGTGGGCTGGATTGAGAAGGCAATTGGGCCGGATCTGGGCCTTAGTTTGCCTTCCCATGATCTAGTCCAATCCCCTGCAGTGCAGGAATCACAGCTTAAAGAATCCCTGACAGATGGGCCTCTAACCTTTGTTTAAAAACAAATCACCACCTTCCAAGGGGCTCCGTTTCACTGTCAAACAGCTCTTACTGTCAGAAGGTTCTTAATGTGTAGTTGGATTCTCTTGTAATTTTAATCCATTGGTTTGGGTCCTGCCCTCTGGAGCAGCAGAAAACAAGCTTGCTCCATCTTCCATGGAACAGCCCTGCAGATATTTGGAGATAGCTATCATTTCTCAGGGTTCATGCACACTTCCTTTTGTGCCGTGCTAGGCACAGGTATGGGATTTCCAGGTCAGTGTCTGATCGGGGTTCCATCCACCCCTCCACCACTTTCCCCCAGAGACCCCAGGTTTTACTGCTGAATCAGAGACTCGATGAACTTTGCTCCATTCAGTGGCAAAACATGGGTTTTCCTGGGGAAGGCAGCGGAAGAAAAATACCTGCTCGGACACAGATTTGGAAATCCTGGACCTGTGTCTAGAAATGCAGGACAAAATGCAGCTGCATCCCTGCCCCCCAATCAAGTAAATCAATACAAATATTTAACTAAGTGAGGTTCTGCCCCCCACAACATACGCCCATGTGGATGAGCTCTTAGAAATGTACCTGCAGTGGCATCTCTCTGGGCCACTCTGGTTGATGAAACCTCCTAATTATGGATAAAGTGCATAGAGAAAAGTTACTTTCTCTCTTTTATAGCACTAGAACTTGTAAACACCCTATGAAGCTGGATGTAGGAAGATTCAGGCAGAGGAAAAAAGAAAGGTTGTCCCCACGCAGCACAGAATTAAACTATGGAACTCTCTCCCACTGGAGGCGATGATGGCCACAAACCTAGATGCCTTTAAAAGAGGATTGGACAAAGTCACAGAGGAGAGGGCTATTGAAGCTGCTAGCCATGATGGCTATGCTTTGCCGCCACAGTTGTTGGCAGCGATGTTTCTGAATGCCAGTTGCTGGGAACCAAAAGGAGGGGAGAGGGCTCTTGTGCTCGAATCCTGCTTGTGGGCTTCCCATTGGGGCATCTGGTTGGCCAGTATGAGAACAGGATGCTGGACTAGATGGGCTACTGGCCTGAGCCAGCAGGGCTCTTCTTCCATTCTGGTTAAGTTCACCCCATGCTCTAAACACCTCTGTGCAGATCTACTCACTTGCAAACAATAAGGCCACCACGTTCTCTCTGCAGCAGCTGCCAAAGCACCAAGAATTACTCAAGGAGCAACAGCCAGCCGCTGGGGGGGGGATTAGCATCGTGGCCTCAGGCAACCTCAACGAATGGGCTTGCTTAGGATGGGCACACGCACCCTGCAATGACAGCTGTCACTTAAACAGAAAGGAAGGGGAATGAATACATTACCGGAGGTTCCAGCCTGCCTCCAGGAATATCACAGGTGGCATTTATCGAATGTGTGGGAGTTACTTAGCAGCTCCATATCTTAACCTTGAAGTTGCCTGGAAAGCAAGATCCTGCTTTGGGTGACCATTGGGAGAACAGAATGCTGCACTAGATGGGCCCTTGGTCTGATCCAGCAGACCCTTCTTATCTTCTTAAGGTAAGCTACAAGACTGTTGCTGCTAGCTGATTGGCTTTTCTGCCTTCCAGGTACTTCCTATGGAAGCTTTTGGCCTTAGTCTACGCCTTGGATGTCTGGAGGGACTCGTACACCTGGCCCTTTCTGGCTTACATGGTCACCTGCTGCATCTACCCACTGACATCCAGCATCGCTCACACGTTCAGCACCATGTCCAGCCGGGCCAGGCACATCTGCTACTTCTTTGATTATGGTGCCCTTGCCCTGTACAGCTTAGGTGAGGGTGCGAGCCAACGTATCGGAGCCTTGACTTGAGGTGTCCTCCTTTTGCAGCAGGAAGATTATTGCATTACCGCAGCATTTTGCCGCCAAGAAAATGTGTCGTTCCCCGCAGAGGGCACTGCAGCTGTGGCTTCGAGTGCTGCGGGGAATGTGGTTGCCTGTGCGTCATAGGAACAGAGGAAGCAACCTTGTAAGGAATCAAAGCAATCCGGGCTTGTCCACACTTAGAAAGCACGGGGCCGAGTGGTTTCCTTTTTGCCCCGCTCCTTCCCCAGGGAAAAGCCATTCTTCGGTGCTAAGTCAGAGCAAACATCAATCTGGACAAAACCCAAATTGCTGTTTGCTTCAATTGAGATCTAAAGAGTGGTTTTTCCTGGAGGAAAGCAGCGGGACAAGAAGGAGGGCAAGCCATTAGTCCATATAGCTCAGGACTGTCTACACTGACTGGCAGCAGCTCTTGAATGTTTCAGGCTGGGGTCTCTCCTGGAAATGCTGCCAGGAATTGAACCTGGGACTTTTTAGTTTGTGAGTGGTCCCATTTTGATTAGAAAATGATTGTCATGCGCCACACAAGTTTAGCACTGGGGGGAAGTAGTGAGGTGTCTGTGGAAATGCAGGTTGTCTGATAGAGTTGTGGGGTCTGCTTTATCCCTCTAGGATCCGCCATGGCTTATTCCGCCTACGTTTTCCCCGAAGAATGGATTGGCAGCACATTCCACCATTACTACGTCTCCACTGCTGTGCTCAACACAGTCGTGGGCACAAGCCTCTCCTGCTATTCCAGGTATTGACGGCTTCCTCTCTGCAATGGGAATGCAGCTGGGAGTGTGCCGTCCTAGGTTGGGGAGAATATTTATTCTGGAACTGAGTCAATTACAGTGGTACCTCGGGTTAAGTACTTAATTCATTCCGGAGGTCTGTTCTTAACCTGAAACTCTTCTTAACCTGAAGCACCACTTTAGCTAATGGGGCCTCCTGCTGCTGCTGCGCCGCCAGAACACAATTTCTGTTCTCATCCTGAAGCAAAGTTCTTAACCCGAGGTACTATTTCTGGGTTAGCAGAGTCTGTAACCTGAAGCGTATGTAACCTGAAGCATATGTAACCCGAGGTACCACTGTACACTAGAAAGCAGCCCCCCCCCGAAATATATAAGGTATTCATTTTCTATTTCAATAGCACTATAAATATCAGACCACAATTCCGATCAGCCCCAGCCAGCAACCTTTGCCAACCTGGTGCCCTCCAGATGGCATTGGACTCCCATCATCCCTGAAGGGCTGGAGCTGAAGGGAGTTGGAGACCAACATCTGGAGGTGTCATGTTAGCTAACCCTTACATTGATGGTGATTTCCTGAGTAACACAAGGAAATAAATATAGGGTCCCCACCTCAAGGGATTTTATGATACGTGAGTAGTGAGGGAGGATGGTACCTGAATAAATTCAACACTCTGGGCTGGACTTGATGCTGCCTCTCCCTGATCCACCTCAGGGGAATGACAATAAGCCTCTCCCCACATCGTCTAGTGTGCCCACCACATCTCTGATGCACCCGGTTAAGGGTGATGAAGTAGCATTCAAACACAGGGAGGGAGGGAGATCTTGGCCTGTCAGAGGTGGTGAGCATACTGAGTCGGGTGATGCTTTGTTAAGATTGGATCAGGGAGAAGCACTGATATATACTCATAAGTGATGAGGCTGATTTGCAGGTGGTTGGAATATATCAGCCTTTCTCAACCTTGGGTCCCCAGATGTTCTTGGCCTACAACTCCCATTATCCCTGACCACTGGTCCTGTGAGCTAGGGATCATGGGAGTTGTAGGCCAAAAACCTCTGGGGACCCAGAGGTTGAGAACCACTGGAATAGATGATGCTTTGGGTCCCTTGCAACTCTCCAATTCTATTATTTTAATTAGGGGGAATGTACCTTTTTTTAAAAGAAAAAAGTCAATACTTGTGGACATTGTCTGCCTAATCAGAACATTAAAGCCAACTAGATGGCTTTAAAAGGGGATTAGACCCATTCATGCATGGGGTGCCAACTTGGATAAAATACTGGGGGGGGGGTGGAGGTAAGTCCCACCCTGCATAATTGATCACATGACATGGTGCACACACCCCGTTTGAATGGCAATGTTAATCAACTTTTTGAGGGCCTGGTCCTCTCAAATATTTTATTGGGGTGTGTGCGAAGGGACCTGAGCCTATAGAAGTTGGCTCCTATGTTCATGGAGGAGAAAGCTGTTGATGGCTATTAGCTGCAATAACTATGCCTCCACAGTTGGAGGCAGCAATGCTTCTGAATACCAGTTGCTGGAAACCGCAGGAGGGGAGAGAGCTCTTGTGCTCAGATCCTGCCACTGGGCTTCCCACTGGAGCATCTGGTTGGCCACAGTGAGAACAGGATGCTGGACAAGGTGGGTCATTGGCCAGATCCAGCAGACTCTCCTTATGTTCTTATTCAAAGCACTGAGTTAGGCTAGACTGGCAATAAGATACATGCCATTTATACAAGCATCTCCAAGTATTTATTTCTGCATCCAAGCATTTTTCTCATGCGAACTTACTGTGTGTAACCAACAGGCTCGGCCTTCCCTATTTCCATTATAACAGTGGCGGCATAGAAAGGTAACATGGGCCCCTCTCAATTGAGGTGTAGATTGGAAAGCAGGCAGGAGACACTAACAACCAAAACAGTGATTCCACCTAATTGACGACACTTGGTGGCTAATAGTCAATATGTCACCCATGTCAATACGGACTCTGAATTGGGAACAAATCAGTCTTCTTCCAGTACTAACCCAGGTGCCTAATCAGTGATCACAGTGGTGGTGGTGACAGCTAATATCAGCAGCTGCTTAAAGGTGCAAAGGGAAAACAAGACATTGATAATGATACATTTCTGAAGGCTTCCTTTTAGTCCAAGGGTCAGTTGGCTTTGCTACATCCTCTTGGCATGTACTTTTCATTTCAATTTTCACTTTCTTTGCCCACATCCTGCTGGTGATGCTCTGTCCCGTGTTTTCCATGCATTCTGCCAAACAGATGACCTAAATCAGGATGAAGAGGCCTTGGATTGATGGTTCAAAATTCAGGCTTCATAAAGCAAGTTCCAAGCTTCCATTATAGAGAACAGTGAAGTGAGGATTTTTCTTAGGCTACATGACTTTTGGCCCATCCTCAGTGAGGGGTGGTTTGGATACATCCTGTAATGTAACATGTTTGGGCAATTCATCAGTTGGGAAACTGCTCACAGGTTCCATGATATGCCAAAATTGCACAACTGAAGTGGATGTAGGGTTCTTGCACAATAAACCAACTTTTTATTTTTTAAAAAAAACAACCATAATTTTTTTGGCTAAGAAAAGTGACAGGAGACCACACTAGTAAGTGTGGTAGAACGGCAACATCATATAACTTCCGTGCAATCAGATCAGAATTAACGTTAGATTAACAGTGTTTTTGTATACCCTCCACACAAATTTTATAGAAAAGAAATCTGGGCGACGGCTCAACAAATGGGTCATCTGTAAGAGCTCAGTGTAAAATGAAAACCATGCCCACCAATAATTAAAATTATTTATTTGAGTTCCAAGTATTTTCTTTGGCCTCTTGTGCTTTGAGTCTTCCCTTCTTTATAAGCTTGAATCAGTTGAGCTGAACTAAGGTTTCCTAACCACCTGAGCAGAAAAAGTCATTGGGGCTGTGCACAATATGGATTGGTCTGTGCCTAGGCAATATGGGCATAGCTTTAGCATTTTGGTGCCAAGGCAATGCCATTCTGGCCCCAAAGCATGCAGGTCTTGATGGGATACACATCTAAGTATAAGTAAATTGCAGAAATTCCCTCTGTGTCATGTGAGGATGTGGAGAGCTTTGATAAGAATGGGAGACAAAGCCAAGACCCATGCCTTATACACTCTGTGTTCTGCAAACCAGACCTATGCACTGTGCTCGTTCACATATATGTTTTCAAAATTTATTCAGGTTCAATGAAATGGAGCAGCCAAAGTTCAGCAAAACAATTCGCACATTCGCCTTTGCTCATCCTTACGTGTTTGACAGCATCCCTCTCTTCTACAGGGTATGTATGGCTTTAAGAATAGTTTCCCTCAGTCTGCTGTGTTTTTATACATAACATAATGTGTGGCTGCTGAAGGGTGGTTCTAGGCTGCCACCCTTTCCTGCAAATAAGGGAGCTTCCTCATTATTTCTGATTTAATCTGAATTTGTCCTTTCCATGGAGAATCTGATGGGAAAACGAGTTAAGAAGCACACATACAGAAACAGTAAATCCAGATTAAAAGAATAAAAATATGGGGTGACCTTTCAAAGAGAACGATATTATGTGGGTGCTGAGAGCGACTTCCATGCATGAACAGTCAGCACTAAATCCACAATAAGCTGCTGTGCCCCAATCCCTATTAAATTCAGTGGGGTTTACATTGTGAGTAGACAAATATAGATTTGTGATTATGCTGGAACTTCTAGACTTTCCTAGTGTCTGGAGGGAGGGCGCCATGCTGGCTAAACATAATTGGGCTAAACAAGGCGCTTATATTGACCTTCCACAACTTTGTGTTCACCGGATATTTTGCACTAGAATTCCCATCAGCCCCTGCACCTTATGGCTCTAATGGCAGGGACTGAAGAGAGCTGTAGTCCAAAGAGCCTGGAGGAAATCAGGTTGAGGAAGATTATCTTATGCTTTCCTTTCTATGCCACAGCTGTACTTATGTGCTGCAAGAAGTTGCACGGAGAGCGTAATTCCAATCCACCTCAAGCACACTGTCTTTGCCTGCCTCACCTGTTTCCTTTTTGCGACACACCTGCCGGAGCGGCTGGCCCCTGGAGTCTTTGACTACATAGGTGAGGACAACAAGGGGCTGCTCTCCCCCTTGCAGGCCCTGCTGAAATGAACGGGGTGGGTGGATTCCAGCAGATATTGGCAACTGATAACATAAAGGTGGCTGTTTTAATCAGCTGTTGTGGCCACACCTGAGAAAGGGAATAACAGCTGCAAGGTATTGAGAGCTGCCCTGTTGGAGGAGGGCAACTTGTTCTGGATTCAGAGAAACAAAGGAACCACTTCAAAGTCATTAGGATGCTTGGCTTATAATCTCCCATCCATGGGCAAGTGCAAAACCCCAGAGTTGGGCAGCAAGACACTTTGTATAATAATCCTAATTATTACAGAACAACCACCACCAGCAGCAGCACATTGCATTATTAAATCTATTACCTGCCCTTCGGCAGTAGGGCATGTTGCAACAATTTAAAATTCATTAATAACAACTGTTAAAACAAATTGCAGTCACAGAGATGAGTCATACCCTCCAACATTTCTCTGATGAAAATAGGGATGTCACATTCCATAATGATAATTTTACCATTTATACCCCACACATCTTTTTGGGTTGCCCCAGCCACTCTGGGTGGCTTCCAACATATATAACAACATAATAAAACATTAAACATGTAAACAACTCCCCTATACAAGGCTGCCTTCAGATGGTTTGGGGATTGGACAACTCCATACCCTCCAACATTTCTCCACTGAAAATAGGGACATCCTAAGGAAAAGCAGGACATTCCGGCATCAAATGAGAAACCAGGATGACGTCGATAAATTGGGGATATCCCTGGAAAATAGGGATACTTGGAGGATCTGCTGCAATTCACAATAACACTGCATGCATCTGATGAAGTAGCCTGTAGTAGCTCACAAAAGCTTATTCCATAATAAACTTCGAGGGACCATAAGACTCCTTGTTGATTTTACTGCAAGGGAGGGATTGTGCCCCCCCCATGGAAATACTGAGTGTTGTATTCTTTTGATCTCTCACAGGGCACAGTCACCAGCTCTTCCACATCTGTGGGATCATTGGGACCCACTTCCAAATGGAAGCCCTTCTGGTTGACATGGCCAACCGCCGTGAGTGGCTACTGGCTCCATCCTTCTCTCAAACCTTTGGGTCCCTTGCAGCTGCCATCATTGTCAATCTTATCATCATTGCTGCTTTCTCAACGACACTCTATTCCATGCCAAAATTCTGCAGGAAAGGAAGCAAGCACAAGGACTAACGCCTGTTGAAATCAAAATGAAATGAAATGAAATTGCAGTTAACAGTAGCAGTACAACACAAATTAGAAACTACTTCAAATGAGGCTTGGTGAATATTATTTGAGAAGTGACTTAAATGATTCTTTTTTTTATTATGAATATGATTTTGTATTGTGGTTTTTCTACAACTTGAGCTGGAAGACTTAACCAATTTGGGATGTAGCTTTTCATTTGTTGATCCTGATTGACCAATTAGAATACCAAGCTGCAATTCTGAGGACTCTGTGAGAACTCTAAATAACTTCAGCCTTCAGTTTGTGTCAGATTATTATTTTTAAAATAGTGATTGCAATTTAACTTGATGTGCCAGTTTGCACTGATAACATAGAAATGTTGGCCACCTTTCATGCCAAAGCAACCACAGTGGCCTTTTAACATAATTCCATGTGTTTTTATGCTTTATTTGAAATGACAAGCACATGTAACATTTCTATCACAAAATACTAATGTACATACCTTTCTAATTCAGAAACTTGCAATGAAATAATATGAGGTTTCTTTGAAATTATATACTGTATATTAAGAAGTTTATATTTTTGTAAATAGCCTTTGCTGGGGTGTCACACAAGCACTTTTTGGTAACAGTAAATGAAGCTATTGTGGAATAAATGCCCTTTTGAAAGGTACATTCAACTTGCACCCAAAGATTTTGCTCTTTATTTTAAAGCATCCTTTACCAAGCTAGTACAGATGAAACGTTTAGAGGGTTCCAGATCAGCAAAGTTGAGAGCTCACTTTAAGCTCCCGATTGTCCCTGTGCAGCTGTTTCTGTACCGGTGTCACATCTGATGTTACATATGATGTCAGGTATGAGACTGGTGGATTTGTGGCAATGACCTCACAGGCAGAATTGGGACTCATGCCAGGCCTAATTAGGCAGTGGGCCATAGGTTCCCCACACTTGCTGATCCTTCAGCCTCTGAGGTGTTTGGAACAGAGTCCTCCAACCCATTTATTCATGATTTTGAAGGAAGGTGAGGACAGGTGACCTCACCTAGGCCCGAAGTCACCCCCCACCAAAGCAGGCTCAAAGCTTCTCAGAGCTTTTCAAAATCATTTTTCTCAGCAGCTAAAAGGCATTAGCTAAGCATCAGAAACATTCCGCTTGCTGTAACTAAAAAGATTGCAACAAGGTAGAGAACAGAGCCCATTGTCTTCTCAGGCCTTTCTCAGAACCACATTGCAACTTGCTTTCTCTCCGGGAACAATGCCAAAGCACAAGAATGAAACAACGGGAACACTCTGAAAACCCCCTCACCCCCTTTCCTGCCAAGAGTCCACAATAGTCCCAAGACAGCTTTCTGTTCATGCTCAGAAGAACTCAGGGGCAGGACTCCTGAGGCAGGAGAAAGGAGGAGGGAACTAGAAGGGTATATATGCTTGTGCACATGATTGTGAACTCATGCATGCTTTTTGTGAACTATCACACTTGCTCCTTCTACCAGTTCATGGATGGTAGAAATAAAAAGCCTTTTCTCCGAAACTATTCCTTGAGTGTCTGTTGACTCCCACTTCCCTTTCCCGGGCGCAATATTTTTCCCACCCGAGGGCAAAGCCTCATAAGGCTACAATTTGCCACTTGCTCTTCACCTTGACAGTTTGTGTGGGTTAATTGACCAAGGAGTAGAGAGGAAAACACTGCCCAAACCAATCTTCTCCCAAACCACAGTCACATCTTGCTTGGTTCAGACCTCAACCATGGTTTAGTGCTCAACAGTGGTTTAGCATTGACTTACCCATTGTGGTGCCCTCCAGCTTCCATCATCTCTGACCATTGGCCTCCAGCTCCTATTATCCCTGACCACTGGCTAAGGCTGATGGGAGTTGCGGTCCAACAGCATTTGGCAGCCATGTTGTTGGCTAATCCTGATTTTAGCATTATGAGAACAAACCACTGCAAGTATCAGGCTTGTGCTCTTTTTCCTCTCTTGTTCATGTGCAGGGGAAGCTCGAAAGCTGCCGTTTCCAGTTTCTAATAAACTGCAGTTTCCCATTCCTTCCAAACATAGGAAACTCTGAGGAAGCCCAGTCAGATGGGCAGGGTATAAATTCTTCTTCTTCTTCTTCTAACTGTGCTTAGTTATCAAGGACCCGAAACCACAGTTTGATCTGAGTTTGTTTCAAGCTGGCACCTATGGTCACCTCCAGGCAACCTAACCTTGTAAAAGCTCTGACATGGTGGGATAGAGAAATGTGTGTTCATGTTAAAAGGTAAAGGTAAAAGGACCCCTGACCATTAGGTCCGGTCGTGACCGACTCTGGGGTTGCGGCGCTCATCTCGCTTTATTGGCCGAGGGAGCCGGCGTACATGTGGCCAGCATGACTAATCCACTTCTGGCGAACCAGAGCAGCGCAGGGAAACACTGTTTACCTTCCTGCCGGAGCGGTACCTATTTATCTACTTGCACTTTGACGTGCTTTTGAACTGCTAGGTTGGCAGGAGCAGGGACCGAGCAACAGGAGCTCACTCCGTCGCAGGGATTCGAACCGCTGACTTTCTAGATCAGTAAGTATTAGGCTTTGTGGTTTAACCCACAGCGCGACCTGTGTCCCGTGTGTTGCTGTTACTTTACACCAAAAACAGCAAAGATTCTTGTGAAGCATTTATCACAGTATATGTGTGTGTGTGTGTGTGTGTGTGTGTGAGAGAGAGAGAGAGAGAGAGAGAGAGAAAGCAGACCCTCCAAGTGTCCCTCTTTTCCAGGGACATCCCTGATTGACAGCTGTCCCGGTTTCTGATTTGATCCTGGAATGTCCCGCTTTTGCTTAGGGTGCCCCTATTTTCATTCAAGAAATGTTGGAGGGCATGGCCTTATCTGACCCCCAAGCCGTCTGAAGGCAATCCTGTATAGGGAAGTTTGTTTTATGTTTTTATATATGCTGGAAGCTGCCCAGAGTGGCTGAAACAACCCAGTAGGAATATGTGGGTTTTAAAAAGTAAAATTATCATTGTGAAATGGGACGTCCCTATTTTCATCGGGAGAAATGTTGTGTATATGAGAGGGAGGGAGTTTACTTCTTTAACGTCGCAGCAGTCCCTCTTGAGTCTTTTTTTACGTTCATAACCAGATTTGCACATCTGGGGCCTAGCCCGCTTCGTTAAGGCCTGAGCTCGCTTGGCTTTCCCGTTTCCATGGAGACGGGGCGGTTGGTCTCCCTCCCTTTCCCGCGCGCTGCTTTATGAGGTAAAAAACTCGCGCCACGACGCCACACAAAGAAACAAGGGCCAATAAGCAAGGAGGCGGTGACAGCAGAGAAGGAGTGAAGGCTGAAGGCGGCGAAGGGCCGCTGTCCTGTCCCCGCCCCTTCCCTCCCTAGCTCCATCCTGATTGGTTGGATTTGAATAACAGCGGGCCGCGCAATGGATGTTGGGAAGCGGGAGGGAACGTTCAAACCGAACCTTCGCCAACAGGGCTGCGAGAGGGAGAAAAAGAAGGACGAGCGGGGCGGCCTCGGCGAGATGAAGGCGGCCGCGTGAGTGACCCGGGGCGGGGTGGAGTGGCGCCTAGTTAGAGCCCCCCCCCAGCCCTCCCTTTAAAGTTCTCCCTCCCTTCCTCTTTCCCTTACTATTTTCCTCGAACAAAAGCGCCCTTATATCGTGCAGATTCATGTCTGAGATACTGTACTTATCTGCATTCATTATCTCTCTAGCTCTCTCTGTATATGTCATAAAATATATATGCTGCTTGATTGCAAACTTTGTTAAACGATCTACAAAAAGTATAAAACAAAAAAATGGGTATAAACAGTTCAACAACTATTTAAAACGTTGAAAAAAATAAAAAGCAGCGACAAACAGATTAGAATACAGACCACTGTTTTATGTATCTGGGTAGACTTGTCTAAATTAAGATGTTTTAACATATACACGCATATGTTTATATAGATAGTTGCCTATTATTATTGTACAGTAATTAATTAATTGCTTTTTAAAGCACTGTCTCAGATTTACAGATATGGCTAGCAGCAATTTGAAACACAAAATAATGAACACATTTAAAAGACTAAAAATTACTTGTGTGTATATAAAATCGTGTGTGTGTGAGAGAGAGAGATAGATAGTTGGTATCTGTTTTAGATTTGAATTGATTTATATATGCAATGGTTTTAGCACTATTACCTATGTAACTGTTCTGCTTAAGTAATTATATTGAAAATTGCTTTGGGATGCCTAGTGAGAAGTGATTCATAAATGAAATAACATTGAAAAAATTCTCAGATGCGTATGCATATAATCTCTCTCACTCTCTTTAAAACCTGTATATCAATTTATATAAATAGGGTAGATTCTATATGAGAGATTCTCTCTTGTATTTGTATTGCTTGGTAGCAGGCTGTCTTAACAGGAGAGATTGGAAGCTGGGCTGTATCTGGCCCTGAACTGTTTCTGTTCTAGCTAGCCATAGTAAGAGCTGCTAATAGACTTATAAGAATTGGTGCCTGAGTTTGTTTTATTTCTTCTCCTGTCTTTGTCCCTCAATTCCTTTTGTGACATGTATTTAATACTGTAAGCTTGTAGGCAGAGACTGTTTTTAGTAAGCTGCTGTAGGAGCCTTTTTGGTTGAAGAGCAGGGTACAAATGCTCTAAACAAGCAACTACATAATATATGCATGCTACTTAACTAAATCAGGGGCATATCTCTAAACCGTGTTACAAAAAAGTGTTATTGGCTTTTTCCAGAGTGACAAATGGCAAAGGAAAAAAGGTTAGATTCTTATACAGTAATGACCTTCAACTTTATGCACTTCTATCATTTATAAGCACTGTGATACTAGGATCATACAATAGTTAAAAGCAACAGGTTCCTGCCATGAAATGCTAGTTTAAAATAAATGATGCTCCTCTCCAGGCATCATCTGTGTCATATGAAGGCAGAAGCATTCCAGAGTCTGACTTCTTTCCTCTGTGCAACAAAACTGGGAGCTGGGGAGGAACAAAGCAGTTATGTTTGTGAAGCCATCCTTTACACAGGTTAACGTTAACATGTGAACCAGTTCACTATCTAATTTTTAAGAGCACAGGAGATGATGCCGGCAGAGGCCAGAAGGGATGAATGTGCCTGTTAACCAGCCACCTTGACTACCTTTTCTTTTAATATAGTGGAGGGATATAAACAAAATAAATGTGTGTTCTGCTGTTCCTCCTGTCTCTAGTCTCCTCTGTGTTTGAGATTCTTTTTTTTAACATGCACTTCAACTCTAGCAGAGCATTTAAGACCGTCTTGGAGTCCATTCTAGATTGCCTTTAGCTGAAAGCCACAATATTGGAGAAGCAGGGTGTGTGTGATTGCATATCTTCTAAATTGAAATGTTCTGAATGTGATATTTTGTTTAAGTAGCATTAGTAGTGCAGTGCCTTTCTGCCTCAGCTGTTCTTATCAATGAAAACTATTTCACATGGCTTGGGGTTGACATGGTGACTTGAAGCGTGCTTCTGCATTGTTGTCACACTGATCCCAGAGCAGTCAGGTTATTTGTCTCCTGTGTGCCTTGGTTCTTGATTGACTTGTCTGATGATTTTTCTTTTTTTCGTTTCCAGGAAAAGCAAAACTCCAAGGAAGCCTGGACAGAAAAATGGATCTAGCAACAATTTGAAGGACCCTGTTGGGGTAAGTGGCTGATACAGGGGATGGGCATGGGATGTAAATGCAAACCTCATGTGATGTGTGTTTTTCTTGATGAATAGGTGAGATGCTCTGTCAGCAGATCAACATAGGCAGAGTCTGTAAGCAAATAAGGGCATAGCTTCATGTTTCCCATGAATATTCTCTCTTCCACCCCTTATCTGCTATGACAATTAATTGGGCTCTCAGTCAGAGGTTCCCTTCACAGCTTTGCTACTTTTATTTACTTTTATTTCTATCCCACATTTTCTTTAAGATACTCAAGGTGGCATTCATGGCTCTCTCACTCTCCATATTGCCCACACGTCTACCATAAGGGGTAGGGTAGGCTGAGAGGCAGTGGCTGGCCTAAGGTCACCCATTGCATTTCCCGATCAGGTGGGAATTTGAACTTTGTTCTCCTAGGTCAGGGAGATCCCACCTTGGATCCTTTCACATAAATACATCAATGGTTAGACTGGTTTAGGTATATGAACATGTGCTAAAAGAATAATGGCCTGTGATGACAGCTGAGCTTTAATTTGGCTGATCTTTCTGATGCTACAAGATGCTCGTTAGTTTTGTCACAGTCCTTTGTGAGAGCAGTAAGTGGAAATATGTTTTAGGATTTTTGTCTGATTCCCAGCTACATTAAAAATCTTGGATTTCTGTCTCTGTGGGAAGTCCTCACTTCCAGCCCTGGGGGCAAATTTCTTGGTTCACAGAAAGAAATTATTTTAATGATCCAAGGAAATTGGTTTTGTTGTTGCCTCCTCTCTTTCCAGCATTTTCTTAATTCTTGCATTTGGTTGTCAGTTCGATGTCTGTCAGTCAACATTACATGCCATTCAAGCTGTTGGAAGCTGTTTTTGTGTGGTCCTCTTTAGGGTTCTTTCAGAAACACCTTTTATATTTCTGCAAACCTTGGGTCCCTCCCCCCCAACCTGCTGTTTTGGTGCTTTTGTTTTGGCTACCTAGTGGTGGGCTCTTTTTCTCCTAAAATGGGGGCTAGTGGTGGAAGTTTCATTTATCTCACCTGCTAGGCTTATTAAGACTTGGAATCTGCAAGCTGTGATATTTTAAAGCACTTTTTCCTCAGGTGTACTGCCGGCTGCGCCCACTCAGTGTGCCAGACCAAGAATGCTGCGTAAAAGTGATCAATACCACAACAGTCCAGGTTCACCCACCAGATGGATACCGAATTTTCCGCAATGGGGAGTATAAGGAGGTAAAGCCTGCTGGAAAGTGGCCAGCAACCAGAAGCTGAAAACCGAGGTTCTGTTGGGTTTAGATTTGGATCTTTAACGTTTGCAGGGAAGTTTCTTCCCTGGAGGACAAATTAAAGCTTTGTAAAAGGCAAAACTTGTAATGAGAGGACAAGTGCCCCTCTCATGGGACATAACAAAGAGATCCTCTGGATAAGACCAAAGGATGGCCTAATCCAGTAGCCCACAGTGTACAACCAGATGCCCCTGGGAAGCCCACAAGCCATGCATGAGAACAATAGTAGTCTACCACTTCTCCCCAGCAGCTGGTAGCCAGAGGCTTGCTGCTTCCCTTGATTATGCTCCACTACTGCTTGAGATGGGGAGCTAATAGGATCTTGGGGGAAATTAGAGTAAAATGTGTTTATTAGGAATTAATATGCTGAAGCAATGCTAGATATCCTCTATCAGACATTAGGCAGGAGTCCCAGTATCTATTTTTAGATGTCTATTGAAAACCTTTTTTTTAGTTCAGCAAGCCTATCTAGATATAAATTATGTGTATTTTTAAACATTTTACTGCTTTTATCTCTGTGTTATTGATGGTTATTTTAGATTTGCTTGTTTTTCAGAGAGTTTTGCTGATTTTATCTGCATTTTAGTGATATTTTTATTACATACCGTGCTTAGAGTTTTCTGAGTAAGCAATCAATATTTTTTTTCTAAATTTATAGAATCAAGACATAATTTGAGGTCTAGAAGCAGCAGCAAAGTGCTTGCTTGTTGCTTCATAACAGCTTGTTGTCTTCCTCTTCAGGTTCAATATTCATTCAAAGAGGTTTTTAATATCGGTGGGACTCAGAAACATGTGTTTGACGTTGTTGCCAAACCTCTAGTGGATGATCTGATTCATGGGAAAAATGGTACGAGAGGATAGAACATTTCATGCTCTAGCTGATATCTAACCACTGATCTCTCTTTTTCTAAACTTGCTAAACTTTCTAAATGCTCCTCCTGCACGTTCTGCTATAACTGCCCAAATATTGTTTAGGACCTACTTTATTTTGTACTGTTTAAAAGCATATGTGGTTTGGAGTATCTTCAGCCCAAATACACCTACAATCATCCAATCTTAATTGAATAAAATACTTCATTTTGTGGAGGTCGGTGAAGTTTAAAATGCTTTCTTCATAGCTGCACCTAGGCTGAAGAAATCTTTATTTGAAACTGACATCTGTTTTGACCCTGCTGGGCAGAGAAAGCTTTTTAAAGTTTGTGTTTCTCTGTTCCTGCCTCTGTTGTATTGTTTGGATAGTATGCACTTATGGTACAGTTTGATTCACTGTAAGCCAAAGTGTTTTTTTGTGAAACAGAAGGATGAAGTAGACATTTGCCTATAAAATATGTTCTCTTTGACTCCTAGGCCTCCTTTTTACATACGGTGTCACTGGGAGTGGGAAAACTTACACCATGACTGGTTCTCCTGGTGACGGTGGCCTGCTTCCTCGCTGCTTAGACATGATCTTCAACAGCATAGGATCTCTGCAGGCCAAACGATACGTAAGTCTCTTCTTACCAAGTCTTGGTGTGTAAACAGTTTTGTTGCCATTGCCAAATGCTTAACTTATAAATCATTGAATGAACAGTTTGGGATGCATTGCATTTAAAGACACACAATGTAAGAAGAGAAGAAGTCCTGAAAGGCAGGGTAGCCCCCTGCAAACCACTTGGGTGGAGTTCAGAGGGTCTCTTGCACTTACTGCTTACTCTGTAGCTAAGAGAGTTTGTGCTTCTTTTTGTAAAAGGCAAACAGATGAAGGGGAAACAATCAACAGCAAAAATTCAATGTGTAGATCTCAACATATTTTCTGATGAGTTCTGAATCAGTGCTCCCCATCATGAATCTTAGAAAATTTCGTTGTTGGTTGGACAGGCTTGATTATTAAATTTCTATCTTGCCCTTCATCATAAATGTGAAGATGAGAGTCAGCACAGGGTAAGCCAGGGTTCAAATCCCTCAGCTACTTGAAGCTCACCAGGGAACCCTGGGCAGTTGCTATGTCTCAGCCTAACCTTCCTCACAAGGTTTTTGTGAGGGTAACATAGGATAGGGAGGAGTCAATGTACGCTGCCTTGAGCTCTTTGAAGGAAAGGTGGGACCTAAATGTAACAGATAAACATCAAATCAATGAGCTTGGCGTTTGTAACAATTTAAATAAAATACAGTGAGATCAACTCTCCCCATTGCCAACTCTTCCCACTTTTAACCCATAATTAAAATATAAAACTACCAATATCTCACATACCTGTCTCTGTGCAGACCCAACAGAATGACAAAATATGACAGAAGAGGGAGGTGTTCCTAAGGTGTGGGGCAGGGCTATCAGTAAGAAGGTCCTGTAGTGGGTCATAGCCCCCTGGCTTCCTTCAAAGACTGAATCAGCATTGCCCCTCCCCACCCTAGCTGATCTTAAGGTCCAGGCACGTGAATTTTGAAGGATGTGAGTCTGAGTAGAAATCTTCAGCTGGTGTTGGCTGTCCTTCCTGCTTCTCAGGTTGAGAAGGTCTGGTCTGAGATAGCAGAGACCACTGGCCAATAGCCTAACTGTGACACTATTAGTAAAATAAAATTATAGTAAAATAAAATAAAATTGCTACTTTCCTCTTGGAAAGACTTACCTTATTTCTGAAAACCGTTTATCTCAGGTGTTCAAGCTGGATGATAAGAATGGGGTTGAGGTGCAGTGTGATGTCGATGCTTTACTTGAACGTCAGAAACGAGAAGTTTTTCAGACTCCAAAAACTCCATCTAGCAAGTAAGTAGCAGTGGGCTGCTGGGACACCCTCATCCCATCAGGGACTGCCATAGATCCGTTGTCGAATATATCAAAATTTCAACTTGCTGTGCTATTTTTTATTTTAAAAGCAGGCGGCAAATTGACCCTGAAATAGCTGATATGATCAATGTCCAAAACAACTGCAAAGCGGAAGAAGTTGATGAAGACAATGTTTACAGTGTGTTTGTCTCCTACATTGAGATCTATAACAACTACATCTATGACCTTTTGGATGAAGGGCCATTTGACCCCATCAAACCAAAGTGAGTAAGCTTCCTTCAGCCTGGCTCTCTGAATCTGTCAGCTAACCAGATTATAGCTATGTGGAATGTAAGTGGCAGAATTGTGGTCTGGTGTTTTGGATTCCAAAAACTAAAGTTGGGAATAGATTCCAGATCTGGTGGTTGATGCCTTGGGGAACAAATGGGTTGTGTCTGTTTCCAGGACATTGGGCTGAGGTGGTATCGAGGAAATGTTTCTGTAATAGTGAACATCACTGTGAAGCAGTGTCATGCTTACAGATGCATTGCAGAAGTCAGCTTTGGTACCAAGATGGGTCAGACCTAGCCTTTGCGTAGGCACTATTCTCTTTGTCAATGTTTCTTTGACATCTTTGGTTCAGGGTTATGCAGAAGCATCACTGAGCACACTCCTTTTTTCCTGAAGCTGGCATTGCCCACAAACAGAAAGTCTTCCAAACTCTGGTGTTTGCTGGCTGCCCCAAAACAGACTTTTAGGAATGTTCCAAAAACATACAAATTCTGCCACAACTTCACCTGAAAGTCACAGGCATACATTCCAAAAGCAGAAAATGTCTTGGGAAAATGCTCTGAAGCGGGTTGTATAGTGGGAGAAAGGCAGTGTGGGCCTGTAACACTTGTAATTTCTTTGCTAGGTGGAGCAGCTGTGGCACTCCCGTGCGAAGTGCTGACTTTATGTATGTGCACAGGTCATATTTTCCTCTTGTTAATGTGCAGTTGGCTGTTTTGCACTTAGTGAAACTGGTGTGATGTCTCCCATTGGCTTTTCTTCCCTGCAGCTTGTTGTTGATAGCTGACATGTACCTGAGTGTTTCCCTCCCTATATGAAGTCTGAATGGCTTGACCTTCCCTCTCTTTCCCTTCTTGCCTGAATAAGCTAACCCTGCATGGCAGCTTGTGCTGTAGCTGACCTTGGCGTGGTTAGTTTTTGGCTTCCCCTTGCTAGCAATAAGTATGTTGGTGCTGGCCGACTCTCATTGACACCCTCACTCTTACAGACTTCCCCAGTCCAAAATTCTCCGCGAGGATCAGAACCACAACATGTATGTTGCAGGATGCACGGAGGTGGAAGTCAAATCCACAGAAGAAGCTTTTGAAGTCTTCTGGAGAGGTAGGAAACTCCCTGGGCTCCTCCAAAGTGCTGCCCTTGTGGCAGAGGACTGCCACAGAGGAAAACATCCAGCACAAAGCTTCCTTTTCCTGTCCATTTGAGCCCTGATAGCATAGAGGGTTCATAATGTCCAGTTCTTTGTCTTCTAACAGCAGCCAGTCAGGTGCCTATAGGAAGCCCAAGCAGTAGGGCACAATTCAACAGGACAAGCCCCACCCTGAAAATCAGTTGCTGAGGGTGGGGGACAATATCCAGTCCTTGTGAAAGCACAGTTGGCATAACTAATTGCCATTGATTGCATTATCCCATGAATTTGTCTCACACCTTTTAAAAACCACTTGAGCTAATTGCCCTGTTTTGTGTTCAAGCATATTCCATAAGTCACACATTGTGTCTAGCACTTCCTTTTTTCTGTTCTGTATTGACTGCCATTGAAATTCATTGATTAACCCCAACTTCCAGATACAGGAGAGGGAGAAAATCGTTTCCGTGTCGTTTGCAACTTGATAAATCCCCCACATCCTCCTTAAAGCTGTCACTCACACAAACAAAACATCCCTCCCCAAATATATTGACTTCTGGGGGGGAATGGTGCTCCAAGCCTTGCCCCTTTTGGCTTCCTTTCCCTGTATGTTTTTCTAGCTTGGACCACCTTCAGCTATGGCCCCCAGAACTGTGTGCACACCACAATGCACCAACACCTGGAATGCTATTGATTGCTATGTGTTCAGTCTCTGCTAGATTACAGGACATTTTCCTGCTTTCTATCAAACAGGCCAAAAGAAGAGGCGCATTGCAAACACTCAGCTCAATCGCGAATCCAGCCGTTCCCATAGTGTGTTCCTGATCAAACTGGCCCAGGCGCCACTTGATGCCAGTGGGGATAATGTTCTACAGGTAAAATCGAGAGGGGCCAAGGAGAGCACAGCTTCTCTTTTCTCTCCCCCAACCCATTCCCAAAAGGTAGATCCATTAAATGACTCCCATCTGATAGCCAAGGCATGGGATGTGGAGCTGGTTACAGGTCTCTCAACCAAGGCCTTGAAAGAGCTGCTGCTCTTTCCAACTTGTGGAGGAAGATTCTTTTCTCTCATTGTGGTTGTTTCTTTATTAAAACTGTGACTGCTTCCCTTCTCTTGCAGGACAGGGAGCTGATAACCTTCAGCCAGTTATCTTTGGTTGACTTAGCAGGGAGTGAGAGAACAAACAGAACCAAAGCAGAAGGGAACAGACTACGGGAAGCAGGTAGGGGTTGTGACTTCCTTGTCCAAGCTTTGCCCCCCTTTTCGGGCATGAAAACGAAATCTAGCTCCATTCATGAAAGCTTTCCATTGAAGCCCGGTGGGAAACTGTATTGTGTGATAGAGCAAGGAGGGCATTTCAGTTGCTTTTGGGGTTGCCCCCCCTACCAGGAGTAGGCGGGGCTAACTTGGCCCAGACTGTGCCCTGCCTTGTGACTACAAAGGAGGGTCTCTGTTCCCCCCCACCTTTTCTCTCTAGAACCCCTCCCTTAGCAGGGACTTGGGTCATTTTCACAATCAGAGGGTGGGGATTGTTTCCCACCCTCTAGCTTATCAAGAAGAGAAACGGCGACCTCTGTTGCAATGGATTTAAGCCATGAGCACTGCCAGCCTGTCTCTAGTGCTGGAGGGCTGGCTCTCTTCAGATGTCCCAAGCAACAACTAGAGTGCAGCTTGTGTGTGCCAACCCCACTGACATCACTTCTAAATCCCCAATAAATGTCCTCCCTCCTCTGCCAGAGAAAACAGCCTATTCTTACTGTGCTTAGGAGAGTGAGCAGAGCATTTGACTCACCCTGCTAACCTCTGATTCTGCTTTGTCCTCTTGGATGATTGGCAGGTGGCAATGATGGGCAGGTTAAGGCCATCAGGGACATTTTTCCTTATGCCTTTCTTAAATGGAGTTTAACCAGAAAAATGGCTTGTCACAATAGCAGCCTGTGATAGATTTTCTGTCTTGGAGAAGGAGCTGATAAAAGGTTTTCCAGTGAACTTTAGATCCCCCAGCCTCTGAGGGGAAACCCTTGGACAATAACAATGGACTGAAAGAAATGAAACTGGGCTTTGATATATTGGCTGATTAATGCTGTACAAAAGGTTCTCTTCTGAGTTTCAGGAAGAGGAAGCTGACAGTTCAGTCCCCTGGACTGGAGGTATTTAAGAAGACAGTGGGGGCTGGTTGAGGGCAGACTGAGATTGTGGGGCAGTGCCACATTTGCCCAGACTGGCTAGCCTCCACTACAGTCCAGTCTGAGAGGGACTCCTGGTGGGCAAAATACATAGAAAGTGCCCTTTACTCTCCCGAGAGCAGGAAAATTACAGTATGAAAATGTCCCTGTTTCTTCAAACCATGTCTTGTGACCAAGGCATGGTTTGGGGTGAATAATGGACTACACCTTTCCCTCTCCCCTCCAGGTAATATTAACCAGTCCCTAATGACGCTGAGGACCTGTATTGAAGCTCTGCGGGAGAACCAAACTTATGGGACCAACAAGGTGTGTGGTTGCTCCCCATTTCTGTGGGTCTCCCTCCCCCCTGGCAGTCTTTCTTCCTGATAACTTTTTTCTTCTTTAGAACTTAAGGACTTTTTTCTTCTTTAGATGGTCCCTTATCGAGACTCTAAACTAACCCATCTCTTCAAGAACTACTTTGATGGAGAAGGCAAAGTGCGCATGATAGTCTGTGTGAACCCAAAGGCTGAAGACTACGATGAGAGTTTGGTAATCTAAATCTTCTTTGAGCTTCCTTGCTCTCATCTTGCTGAAACTGGGATGGAGGGGAGGGCTACCTTTATTTATAAGAACTTTACATCTGAGGAGGCTGGTCGACCCAAACAATGAAGCACAAACCTGCTCTGTAGTGGAACTACCTTTTAGAGCAGAATGAACTTGTGCTGCGTCTTATAGGGTGGGTGGGAGGGAGAGAAAATAATGTGAAATCCTTAGATCTTGCATACGCAAATCTATTGGTGTGTAATTAGGCTTGACTAATGTCTCCATTTCCTGTTTAATTGTGTTGTAAAGTACCAGATCCTACATACTCCCATATATCATTATTTTGCAGCAAGTCCTGCGATTCGCAGAGCTCACCCAAGAAGTAGAGGTTGCGAGGCCTGCTGAGAAGCCAGTCTGCGGCTTGATCCCTGGTCGACGGTTTAAGAACCAGGCCTTTCGGGAGGAGCTCTCACGGCAGCTGGAAATCCGAGGTGGACCGATTGATGGAGGTAAATCATAAGAGGCTACTTAGAGTGCCCAAAGCGGGACTTATCAAGCAACCAGCAACATAGACCTCTCATTCTAGCTTATTCACCTGTCTTAATCCTTCCTGCTTTGTACACACATACACAGAACTGCCTGAACATGGTGTTCTGGACCTGTGTTCTCGCGTTCAATGTTAGCTGGGTAAGAGCAGCAGGAGGTGTGTTGGAAGGAAAAGGGTTAAACCACCACCCTTTTCTCCCCCTCCTCTGTTGCAGAGCCAGTCCCGTATCACAGGAGGCATCAGGGTATTGTTGCATTTCAGCCACTGTATAATATGAGATTTGGCCCAGAATGTACGTGTGTGTGTGTGTGTGTGTATTAACCCTTAAGGTCTTTTTTGTGGTTATCTTGATAGGCGTGCATTTGAATTAACAGAGTGCCCTGTTCTAGCAACCCTCCATGCACCTGGGATCCAGGCTCTGTACAGAGCATCCTGTCAGCTATTCCTCCTGTTGGGAGCTTGCCAGAGCCCTGGCCAAGACATGTTCTTGAAACAGCTGCTTCATTGTCTCTTGCAGATCGGGAGCGGTCTATCACAGAGGTGCTGCTGCAAAATTTCCCCCCAATGTCTTCCTGCGAGCTTCTGGACATCCATGATGACCAGACCCTTCCTCGACTGATTGAAGTGCTTGAGAAACGGCATCGCATCCGGCAGATGCTGTCGGAAGAGTTCAGCAAAAATGGTGAGCTGTATGACTCTCCTGGCCAAAAGTAGTTATGCAGGCAGCTTGGGCTGCTTCTGCCTTGGAGTTAACTGACCTGGTGCCCTCCTGTTGCTGCTGAAGTCCACTTCTTATCCTCCCTGGCCGCTGGCTGGGGTTGAAGGGAGTTGGAGTCCAATAATAGCTGGGGGGCACCATGCCTCAGCTATTCCGTTTTTTAAAAAATTCATCTTACGAACACAAGAAAGGGCCTGCTGGATCAGGCCAATTGCTCACCAAGAGAAACACACAGGAAGATCTGGACCCAACAGCACTCTCCCCTTCTCTGGTTTCCAACAACTAGTATTCAGAAGCATTGCTGCCTCCAACTGTGGTGGCAGAGCATAGCCACCATGGCTTATTCCCATTCATAGCCTCCTCCATGAATTTGTCTAATCTTTTAAAGTCAAATAGGTTGGTGGCCATTACTGCCTCCTGTCTGAGTGAGTTCTGTGGTTTAACTGCGTTGAAACACTTTATTTTATCTTTCCTGAATCATCCAACACTCAGCATCACTGGATATCTAGGCATTGTAGTCTTCTTGCTTATACAGTTGTACCTTGGTTCTTGAATTTAATCAGTTCTGGGAGTCCATTCGACTCCCAAAACGGTTCGGAAACCAAGGCGTGGCTTCCTGCAGCCAATTGGAAGCCGTATTGGACGTTTGGGTTCCAAAAAAAGTTCGCAAACATTCACTTCCAGGTTTGCGACATTCAGGAACCGATTTGTTTGACAACTAAGACATTTGACTACCAAGGTATGACTGTAGTTTTAATGCATCAGATTCTAAGCAGGAATGCCTTATTTTCTGATCAGAAGATGCAACTGGTAGTATCTACCACGTGAAGCACTTTGATATTTTCTTCTCTGGTTTCTGTCACATGAGGGTTTCCACATAATTCCCATTTTACAGATGTGCTTCCACATCCTTGGAGAGATTCCTTCATTGTATTAGCATGCCGCTTTTCCGCAAAGAAATCATTCTCAAAGCAGTTTACAACAAAGAAAACAGGAGGGCATTTTGAAGCAAACACTGCATTTCATAATAACATGGCAAAATACGACAATGGCATATATAACATACAATATATATATATATAAATGTAACAAGATTATATAAACAACATCCATCCTCTAAGGGCAAAAAATGGTAAGGGAGCCTTATGCTTTTACTCTGGTCTTAGAAACACACCTCCCATGACGTTGCTCCCATGGGATGACCCAGGCTTTCCTGGCGAGTTGGCCTAATCCAGTCAGTAACGCAGATTGCTTTTTCTTTTGTTGCAGTGCATTCTGTCAAAGGGATGCTTCAGGAGCTTGACTCCAGTATCGTCTCCAAGGAGAACTATGCACAAGTTAAAATGGCCGAGAGAGACAAATTTATAGCAGCCCAGAAAACTGAGATCGAACGCCTAGAAAAGAAAGCAAAAACTCTGGAATACAAGGTTTGGGTTCTGTGCCTTTATGTTCTTTAAGCATGTGGCCTATTTCGCATAAGTCTAGGAGTGCAGCATCTCAGGCCAAGGGGCCAAATGCAGCCCTCCAGCATTCTCCATCTGGCCCCTAGGATGCTACCCAGGACACACCCCTGTTAACTCTGCTCCTTGAGGGTGTTTGCCTGGCTAGAATGTGTCCTTAAAACTCGAGAATGCCATGTGTGTGTGCATGGAGAGAGAGAGAACTCTCTGGTTTTGTATGGCTGGAGTGTGGCCTGTGCATAAGAGTCTCTATGGTTCTGCCCACCACTGACTGCTGCCCTACTGCCCACAGGATGGAGTGCAAAAGGATCCCTGTTCTCCTCTCCCCACCCCAGTTCAAGTGGAACTCTTGTAACTTGCTGAGCACTGTGCTAACCTAAAATTTGCAAGTATGATAGCTTTTTTGACTTGCTGCCCGGCGGCGATCATTTTTGAGGCTGTCGTCTTGAAACAGGGGTGTCCTCTTAGCACCTGCCTGACAGCTGCAAATTATGCATGTTTTGACATTCATTTGCAGTGCAGGTTCTTTCTTTGCCCCAAAACCTCCCCTCTATTTTGGATGTAAGGGTGGGTGTGGATATGGAAGCATGGGGGTGTGAAAATGAAGTTTTCGGAACAGAAAGTGGACTTTGTCTTACCAGATCGAGATCTTGGAGAAAACGACAACAATTTACGAAGAGGAGAAGCGCAACTTGCAGCAGGAGCTGGAAAGCAAGAGCCAGAAGCTGCAGAGACAAGTTTCTGACAAGCGCCGCCTTGAAGCACGGTTGCAAGGCATGGTGACGGAGACAACAATGAAGTGGGAGAAGGAATGCGTAAGTGTTGTGTGTGCCCACACACTGGGGTAAATACTGTTTTGGAGGCAAGCTGCTTGAGGCACAATCCGAATGCTTCCAGGCAGAAGTTCCTAGGACGCTTCATATTGAGTCAGACCATCAGTTCATCTAAATAAGTACTGACTACACTGACTGCCAGCAGCTCTCCAGGGTTTCAGTCTTTCCTAGCCCTATCTGGACATGCCAGGGGTGGAAGCCATGACCTTTTGTATGCAAGGCAGATGCCATGCTACCCCCTGCTCCCTGTCGTTTTACCATGAGACAGTGCTGGAGATCATTTGAGCCATTCCCTGCTACTCATGCAGTTGTATGAGAGCTGGCAGGAAAGGGTTAATGCAGTCCTCCTAGTTCTCTGCTCTGCCTCCTATGCAGAAGGAATTGAGCTGTTGGACTCCTGGCTAATTTGGGAAGCCCCTGCTGATCTATGTGGTCCTCTGCTTATTTGTGTGCATGAGATACATTGATTTTTGTTCCTGGTTTTTGTGTTTGTGTGTGTTTTCCCCCTCAAGCCTGACTAGGAGAAAGGTACTTCTTTGGGTGCCCATGACATGTTGAGGACTTTTGTTCGTTCATTCTCTTCCTCCCTACCATGGCTGCAAAGGCATCCTTGGGTGCCTGTACCATGCCCAGCAGCCCACAGTCTCTTCTCTACTGGGACAATATGAAAGGAATAAGAGGAAGTCTGCATGTCCGTATGCCCCAAAAGCTTTGATGACTTGAACTCTCTGGTCCAGGCAAAAGGAGGTCCTATCTACCCCCACCAAGGGCCCCATCTGTGTGACTGTGGTGTCCACCCCACAGGAAAGACAGTCTTTGTGCTGCTGCTCAATACTTGCAAGGCTCTGGGGGGGGGTAACATTTCCTCTTCCACGGGCCCATAGCATCTTCTCTTCCTGTGGTCCTGTCCGGAGCCCTTCCTAGCACCATTTGGCTTTCTCTCGCAGGAGCGGCGGGTGGCAGCCAAGCAGCTGGAGATGCAGAACAAGCTCTGGGTGAAAGATGAAAAACTGAAGCAGCTGAAAGCCATTGTCACGGAACCCAAGGGCAGCAAACCGGAGCGGCCCTCTCGGGAGAAGGATCGGGAGAAGCCCCTGCAGAGGTCCCTGTCGCCTCCCCCAGTCCCTGTAAGTTGTCTAAGAGACACGTAAAGTGTGTTTGTTTGTGCGTCGGGCAGAAGCATCAGCCTGGGAGGCTTTCTGGGGCTAGGGGATTTTGTATTCCAGTAAGGGAATTTGGCTGCTAGTGCGCCGAGTCCCTGCCTCTGTTCCCTGCTTTTGTTCTTTCCCCCAAACCCTCTGTAAATCTGCTTAATCCAGACTGGTAGATCTGGGGGCCACGGTGGGCGTCTGCCTGTGCTGGAATCTGTGGGCTGACTGACTCTCTCTTCCCTCTCCTTGTTTGCTAATTGCACCTCTCTTCAGTTTTCTAGTCCCTGTGTCACTCAGCTCCCTAACACCACCAACTTGCCTGCCGCAAGCCAGCCACAGCTGCACAGGCGTTCCAACTCCTGCAGCAGCATTTCGGTGGCCTCCTGCATCTCGGAATGGGAGCAGAGGACGCCTACTCAGAGCAGCAAGCACCCCGGCGGTGGTGGCAGTGGCGTGCCCAAAGGCAGGAGTAGACCTCAGGAGCTCCAGCAAGCTAGGCACTGTGCCATGTCAGACAGAAGGCGAGGCATGTGCTGGACCGGTGCCCTCGAGGTCCCCAGCGGTAGAGAGGCTCTAGAGGTAGAAGAGGACCTGTGCTGCAGGGTTAGTGCTGCTCCTCCTAGCTTGGGGCTTGACGCTGGGGTGAGCCTGGCATAGTGGCTCAAAGGTTGCCTTTCCCCATCCCCCGAAAGCCATGGAGAGCGCAGCAAAAGCAAAATCGTGAGAATACAATATATAAGAATTAAAAGAAGCAGTAAAAAGAAAAATTTAAAAATCAACATGCATAGTTAATTTGCTATCTCCCGCCTTCAGCTGCACCACAGACACACTGGACCACCTGAATTAAGCTCGCGGACCAGTTTGGGACTTAATTTTGGAGCCCAAACAAAACCTTTCTAGGAGATGGATTCTAGCCAGACTCTGCTTGTCGCATGGCTTTCCCGCATCTGGGGCTGGGTAGCTACTTTTAATTGACTCTCCATTATAAAGATCTGAAATATGTTTTATGCTAGACTTCTCAACATGTAAAACCTGCATCTTTTTTGCTTTAAATTGCTATGAGGTAGCTTTTCAAATAGTTGAAATCTCTTTCAGTTGGGATTGTTTAAAGCACACACTTAAATCTGTTGCCAGCCAGTCCCAAACACGTCAGCTTGCTTAAATTTCTTCAAATAGTGAGATCAGCCTGCCGATGCAAATTAGCTGTAAATCAGAAAACTTATACTGTACATGCCTCCAATCAAGAGTTCTTGATTTTCTTTCTCTGAGTCAATCAAAGGCAATCAAAACTTTGGAAAGTGCCTCTGACAGGCTGCAGTGTTGTTTGTGTCACACTGTGTGAATCTGCTTCCGTCTTTCTCATTAGTCGTGCTGATGAGAGTTGTAGTCCAGAAGGCTAGGGGGCACCAGGTTGGGAAAGGTTCTTCTAGAGCCCTGGGGCTCTAGAAGTATAACTAACAGGCCAGTTCCATGAAATGGGACAGTGGCCACTGTGGGCAACAAGGCTGCTACAATGCATTGTAGGCTAAGCATAGGTGACTATGGAAGGCAAAGTTCATAGGCTGTAGCTGATGCTACTCCAACTCAGAGTAGGCCCATTGGCATTAATGAGCTTCATTGAGTCATGCCCAATAATTTTAATGAGTCTACTCTGAGTAGGACAAGCGTTGGATACACCCCTATGAAATCTTATTACTTAGGTTTTCCAGGATGTGAGGAATGTGGGGTTGTCCCATGGTTGAGCCACCTGCCCCCATCAGTCCTGACCATTGGCTATGTAGGTTGGAGTTGATGGGACTTGTAGTCCAACAATGTGGAAGGCCAGAGGTCCCTCACCCCTTGCCTTCCTCTCTGCCCCTGCATCAAGGGTTTCATGAGAAAGGAATTATAAGTGCATGGAGCTGCCCAGGCTATTTGTCCCTCTAGCCCAGAATGTGCTCTGGTATGAGAGGGGCCTTTCCTGTCGCTTCTAGTTTGACCCACCCAACAACCAATACCATGGATGTAGTCCTGGGCCTTCTGCATCCAAAGCTCTTGAGCTACATGGTCCCTCCCCAAGCTGGTCTTCTGGGTTCCTGTTGCTCTATAGCCACATTACACAGCTGCTTATGGTGGCTCCCACTGAGCACATGTCCAGCATGTGATAGGAGCTGTGGTCCAAAGCATTGGAAGATTCACAAGCGGGTGAGGACTGTCCTGGGAAAACCTGGTGGCCAGGGCAGCTTGTTGGACCTTATAATGGTGATCAGGCCTACTTGAGAGCAAAGGTTACCTTGTCCCAACATTTCTCCTCCCCACTCCCTGTGTGGCTGTGAAACAGCATTTTACCTCTGGAGCATTTAATCTCAGAGTGTCCATCAGCAGGGCAAGAGGCAAAGAGGCAGGAACGTTTGATGCTCAGCCAACTTAGGAAATCTTTGCAGGTGGGGGTGTTGCATTTGTCTTGTCTTTTGTGTGCATACTTGATTTGGCCTATTGGAATTGCAGAGTTTTGCCCATGGACTGACCCCACCCTCTTTGCCCCCAGCCTGGTAATGTGCCTGCGTTCAACACTGTTGCTCTAAAATCAAGACTACTTGTTATCCTTTGCTCTTCCTTTTCCAGCTCTTCCACCCTCCCCAAAATACTACGATTTCACCTATAAGATTTATGCATGACACTGAAGGGAAATCTTAAGAGTTGGGGATGGGAATAAAGTGACTAAAGATTTCAAATTGCTTTGTTGACTTGGCTCTCCAAAGATAAGCTTGGGTGAAATTTGCTGCTCATCCCCTCTGCATCTCTCTCTTCCTTTTGGGACCCACTTAGAATGCTCCACCAGTTCGCATCCGGCACAGGCGCTCTCGTTCAGCTGGGGAGAGATGGGTGGACCACAAGCCTCCCTCCAATGTCCAGACCGAGACAGTCATGCAGCCCCACGTCCCCCACTCCATCACAGTGGCGGCTGCCAATGAGAAGGCCCTGGCCAAGTGCGACAAGTACATGCTGACCCACCAGGAGCTGGCTTCTGACGGGGAGATTGAGACAAAGCTCATCAAGGTAAAGTGGGCCAGCAATCAAGCAGGCAGGCAGGCAAGGGAGTTTCCCAAATGTGTGCCTGTTTTCTAAGAAAGTCCTCCAAGCAAACTTTGAGTCTTGTTGGGCTGCAAAGCAGCTGAACTCTCATGGGGCCATTAGAATTCTACACATTTAGAGCAGAGGGGCGTGTGGAGAGATGCATACAAATGACAGTCGCATATTGCGCACCATTAACTGGCATGATTTCAACCTTGGGCAATTGAAAGCTGGCCGGCTGAAATCCCAGAAATTAATTGCATGCAGGGCAGAGAGCTCCTAAGCTCCTTTTGCACTGAGTTTTCCTGGCATGGAAAGTGCTTTTTAATCTCTCAGACTTGCTTACTGGGCTCGGAGATGCCCTTGTGAGATCTCACGGGAACTCAGATGGCCCTGCGAGATCTTTTGAAAGCATCCCAGAGCTTGGCAAGAAAGGCAGGGATGGTTGCCTGGGGGCAGTTTAGGGGTATGTTTTTAGCATATACGTGCCCTTCCTGGAATGCAGCCCCCCCCCCCAGACGTGTTTCTACTGCATCAGTTTACATTTTCACTGCCTTCAAACCCAGGCTAGGCTTCCTAGGCTGGTCTGGCCTGATCTATATATCTGTAAAAATGGAGCACAGTTAAAACAATACAAGAGTGGGGACCTCAGCTGCCCCCCTCACCATGCAAAGAGCTTCTTCACTGTTCCTGTCTTATAGGGTGATGTTTACAAGACCAGAGGAGGTGGCCAGGCAGTCCAGTTCACAGAGATAGAGACCCTGAAGCAAGAGTCTCCAACAGGGTGAGTTTTCTAGTCCAGTTTTCATGCCCTCTTAACACGCACAGAACCACGATGTCCATTCATGGGGCTTTTCTTGCTCCTGGGAGTAGGAGGAGGGCCCAGTGAGACTGCTGTAACTTAGTATCATGACATAAAGTATTTATGTTTATGTTTTTAAATACGTTGTAAGCCACTTGGAGAACTCTGTGTACCCAGGCTAGTAAATAATATGAGGCAGGTTCCTGCTGGAAGGCCAAGAAGTGCATCTCCCAGTGGATTTGATCAGACTTGAGGTTTTCAGGGCAGGATCAGGTTTGATGAGCAATCCTTTAAACTAACCATTTGCTTTTTCCAGATGTGTAGCCATAAAATGCAATACAAACATAGAACTATCCTTAAAACAAGTTCCATTTGAGATCAAGGTATAAAAAGACTCAGTAAACAGACAAAAAAATGATGGCAGTCTTGATGTGGGGGGCAGGTATTGCTCCCCCCTCCTAATCTGTGACTAGTTCACCTAACCTCTGGACAGGGGGTTGGACCTTGAAGGCCTTGGCTTGTGAACCTGCCAGGCGCCCTATTGTGGCTTGCTTCTATCAGCTGGCCACAGCTTCCCCTCAACTGATGTTCTTTTGCTTCTTCCAGCCGCAAGCGAAGATCGTCTCCCTCCAGCCGTTCACCTGCAGAGGAGGGTACAGAGTCTGAGTGGACAGATGTAGAAACAAGAGTAAGTTCCAAGGAGGCCCTTCTTCTTGTGCTGCCTCCATGAGAGATCCGGAGTGTGGCAATATGAGAACGGGCCTTTTCTGCAATGGCTCCCTGTTTGTGGAATGTTCTCCCCGGGGAAGTTCGGCTGGCACCTTCATTATACACCTTTAGGTGCCAGGCAAAAATTTTCCTCTTTAACCAAGTTTTTGGCTGATTGCTATCTGGTGCCCTTTTAAAATGTGCTGTGGAATGGGGGGTTATTGGGTTGTCGTTTTTATTATGTATTTTGTGATTTTATGTTGTAAACTGCCCTGAGATCTACAGGTATAGAGTGATATACAAAGACTGCTGCTGAGTTGCCTCTTGATCCCATGTGGTCTCTCTCTGTGTTTCTCTGTCCAGTGTTCTGTCGCAGTGGAGATGAAGGCAGGCTCTCACCTGGGGCCTGGATACCAGCACCACGCTCAGCCCAAGTATGTTTCTCTCTCCTTCTCACCCCTCACTCTTAAATACTGAACAAGGCTTTCTTCTCTAAGCTTGTAGCTTTGCGTTCTTGAGAAAGCTGGGTTTGGAACCAGAACCAGGCTTTCTGCTTAGGGCCTGAAGGCAAACAGGAGCTGTGCCTGGGTGATGCTGGCTTTGGGGTGGGGGGCAGAGGGGGCAGAGTTTATTATTGAGGTTTGGCCTCTTGCAGATAGGTGCCGACCAAGCTGTGGAAGTGATCTCTTCAGCTCAGGGGAAGAAAACATGGCAGTTTTACAAGACATGTTAACAGGCAGGAAAGAGGGCATCAGAGGTAAAAAAAAAAAGAAAAAGTTACTGAAAGTTCTGAGGGGCGGAAAGCTATCATCAGGACCTGGAGAAACCTGTAAGGTAGTGCTGTGTTTGAGTTACAGAGAAGGCAGGATGTTCCATAGGACAAGGAAGCCTGCTCATATTCTGCACCCCCCCCAGTGGCTTCTGGATTTCCTTGCTGGGTGTTCCTCACATATATTTTACAGCTGCACAGGCTAGAATCCATTTTTGTCCTCTGCGGGGTGCTGAATGCTGCCCTGCCTTGGGCAGTTGCTTCTCCCTACGTCGGCCCCTCCTGTCCAATTGGCTCAACTGCAGGAAGCTTTTCTTGAAGGTTTTGTCTGCTGGGTAGGGGTGGGGGAGATGTTGGGATCTGGCGGCAGCTCCTGGGAGCCAAAGGGCCAGAAATAGCCTCTTGCAGGAGTCGCTGCGGGGATACAAGGAGGTTTGGGGGGCTGCCTCATCGCAAGGGGCTCTGCTTGTGCACTGAGAATTTACATCAATCATGACCTTCCAACTTTGGTGTGTGTGAGGGCTGATCACAAACCTTTCTTTCCTTTGCAGGCGCAGAAAACCATGAACTATTGGAGATTCCTCCTAGGACTTCTTTGGCAAAGGGTTTATTTGCAGGCCTACATATGCTAGGCAAGGAAAGAGCCAAATATATAATAAAAGTACATTTTTTTTCTTTTGGCTCTCTTCTGTTGTGGCATTGAAGAAGACAACCTTGTTTTGTTCTATTACCTCTTGACTGGATATAAGACTCCCTTGCATAGGGCTCAGCTGTGTTCCTTGCCACCTTTTTTTTGTCTTCTTATGGGTATTTTTATGAGACTGTATTAAAAATGTGCTGCTATTTATTTAGCTGTCCTGATGCACTTTAGAATGATCTTGACGCCTGTTTAGAATGGCAGTCCTGCCCAAGCTTTCAGCTGGGAATGGCTTTGTCCTTAGACTGGGAGCATCTGTGCCCCTGCAAACCAGTGGAGAAGGCCTTCTCCTGCCAATGTATTCTGAGCAGTGGGAAGGATGGGGCTCTCGGCGCTGGCTACCTTCTCTCTTTGCTTTGTTTGCTATGCATGATTGTAACGGGGCACGATGAGTAGACAACTGTGTAGGAAGGCGACTATATTCACGTGCGATATATATGTATATTTTAAAGGGCTGGATTTGTCAATAAATTTTCACAGCATCTTGCATTCTGTGGTCTTCCTCGTCTACTTCTAACATATCTGGCAGTACTTTTAAAAAAGCTTTCTCCCCTCCTGTTGACGTCATCGAGAGGGAAATGGCCACAGCCCGTCATCTGGGGTGAAGTTTGTTGTTGATAAAACAAAGGGGCATTTGATGTGGCATGACTTTGTTCTCCCTCTAACATATCCAGGATTGGCCCCAGCTGCCGGAGGAACTTGTAGAGCTGGAATGGAAAAGGTTCAGAAAAGGACAACTGATACCATCAAGGGGATTAACATTCCCTGATGAGGAATAATTAAAATACTTGGGGTGTTTTAGTTTAAAAAGGCTAGAGGTGTATAAAAATTACTGGTGGTGTGGAGCAGATAGAGATTTTGTTCTCCCTTTTTCATAATGCTTCGACTCCCAATGGGCTCATCCAGCGAAGCTGAATGTTGGAAGATTGGGGACAGACACACATCATGTATTGCATTACAATTTCATCTTGTGCTGGAGTTCTGTTCCAGGTATGGTGTGTAACTGCCACCGTGCCAGCATGCTCCTGGGGCTAGTGCACCGAGTGGTACATGCCTCCCCAAGTAAGGCAGAGGGCTGTTAAACGCTACCTTGCTTCCTGGGTAAGTCCTGCTCAGTGCATGGCCTCTGGGATGCTCTTGAGGCCACCCAAGTTCCGCAAGATCTTGTGAGAGCACCCTAGAGCCTGTGTGCTGAGCAGGACTTGCCTGGTAAGCAAGGCAGACAGCTTAAAAGTGCTTTCCACATAGGGAAAACCCAGCACAAAAAGAGCTTTTGAGCTCTCTGCCTTGCATGCATTTAATTTACACAATTTAGCCGTTTGGTATTCAATTTTGCATAAGAAGCAACTGTGCTGTATTTACTCCTTGAATTCATATCCCACCCTTCCTCTGGAAAGGAGCCTACGGTAGCAAACAGATACACAGTTTGAAAAAACAGTTACGACATTCTAAAAGCAGTTACAGTTAAGAACAATCTTCCACTCAGTGATCTTGGGTTTGCCAGGAGCAGTCTTCTTCAGCCACCCAAATCCTGGGTGAACAGGAATGCTTCCAAACTCCTCCTGAAAGTGCATAATGATGGAGACAGGTGCACCTCACTGGGGAGACCATTCCACAACTGGGAAGCCACCACTGAAAAGGCCCTGTCATAAGTCAGCACTAACCAGGCATTCCTGCCCCTTACATAAAACGAATTTGCTACCATAAAATACGGTGCTAGTCACTAACCCTTGATGGCTTTAGAAGGGCATTAAATTCATGGAGCATAAGACTATCAGTGTTGTTTGCGGTTATTCCTATGATGTTGGAGGCAGTAATATATGCAAGAGAGTGCTGTTGTGCTCAGGTCCAACTTTTGGGCTTCCCAGGGGCATCAAGATGCTGGGCTTTTGTTGGATCCATCAAGAGCTGCTCTTGGGATTTACCCCATGACCAAAGCAGGGGAAGAAATGATGAGATTTTCCTTTCCTGCTTCCTCTAACCTCTCAACCCTTGCTGGTGCTATTTGCATTTTTTAAAAAATTGCAAAAACATATTTCACTTCATGCCTAGTTTAGGTTCCTCTGCCGCCTTCTGAATAATAATATCCTAAAGTAGGTTGGAGATGATACCTAATGAATTGAGCAGAAGAGGCTGTATGAGCTTGCCTAGTAGAGTCCACTAGAGGACAGCATCCACCTAAAAATGAATTGAACAAAGCTGGGTTGGTTTCATGCTTTGGGTAGTGTATGTTGCATGTATGTTTAGGCAAGGTGCTGTTCAGGTCTCGGCATCTGAAGGCTCTCTTAACTCTGTGCTACTCTTAACTGTGTTACTCTTAACACAGACTACACCAACCTGGTGCCCTCCAGATGTTTTGGACTAAACCTCCCATTAGCCCAAATAAGCTGGCTTGGGCTGATGGAAAGTGTACACCAAAACATCTGTAATTTTTTGGTTTTTGGAAAATAAAAGAATTTAAGACAAAACATCTGGAGGGTGCCAGCTGGCGAAGGCTGAATTGGCATATGCAGATTGGTGTCTGTTTCTTCACCTGAAAAAGGATATTGCGGAGTTTCAGAAAAGGGCAACCAAGATGATTAAGGGGAGGGATCAAGTCCCCTTTGAAGAAAGGGTGCAGTGTTTTGGGCTTGTTAGTTTAGCGAAAAGGTGAATAAGAGGCAACATGATAGAAGTTTACAAAATAAAGCATGGCATGGAGAAAATGGATTGAGAAAGGCGTTTCTACCTCTCCTAACACTAGAACTTACAGGCTGCTTTTTTTCTTTAAAAATGTTGAGGTACTCTCATTTTCCTACTCATTGAGGCCAACCTTAGATTCACAAAATGTTTAGGGGTATGAGTACTCCTGCGTCCCGTCCGTCCGTCCCCCCCCACCACCAGTGAAAAAGCACTGCTTGCAGACATCCAGTGAAGCTTGAATGCTGGAAGATTCAGGCCAAATAAAAGAAAGTGCTTCATGTAAGACATAAAACCATGGAACTCACTCCCACAGGAGGCATAGATGACCACCAGCTTGGATGGCTTTAAAAGAGGATCAGGTAAATTTATAGAGGAGGGGTGCTATTGATGGCTACTAGCAAGGTTGGCTATGCTCTGCCTCCAGAGCTGGAGGCAGCAATGCTTCTGAATATCAGCTGCTAAGGAACCACAGGAAGGGAGAGGGCTCTTGTGCTCATTTCCCACAGGCATCTGGGTGGTCTCTGAGAACAGGATGCTCGACTGAATGGGTCATTGGCCTGATCCAGCAGGCTCTTCTCATTTGTCTTGGACCTCCCTGTGCCCCTGTCAGTACAGTGGTACCTCGGGTTAAGTACTTAATTCGTTCCAGAGGTCTGTTCTTAACCTGAAACTGTACTTAACCTGAAGCACCACTTTAGCTAATGGGGCCTCCTGCTGCTGCTGCACTGCCGGAGCACGATTTCTGTTCTCATCCTGAAGCAAAGTTCTTAACTTGAGGTACTATTTCTGGGTTAGCGAAGTCTGTAACCTGAAGCATATGTAACCTGAAGTGTAGGTAAGTGTGAGGTACCACTGTACTTAGCACTCTCCTGCCCCCACTCTCTACATGTCCTGTCTTCCTCTTCTTTTTGAGGAATGCCGGCCAGGGTGCCTTCCACTCAATTAGAAAACAGCAAATAAAGTAAGAGCCATTCTCACAGCGTCCTACCTGAAAAGGCCAGAGTGCAGCCTCTGCCCCTATTGGTTGCATCACACAGCAGCCTCCTGGGCGCCTGCTCCTTTGCCTGTCTTGTTCATCCTTGCAAACAGCAGCAGCAAAAGTGTTTACCCAACAAAGATTCCTCTTAAGACACACAATTTACTCTGCTAACAATGCTGCGCATCGGTTATGGGAACAGATGTTTGTTGTTGTCTCTGCTGACATTGGAGGGTGGGGAAAATGAAAGCCAACACCTGTGTGTGTGTGTTTTCTGCATGTAGTGTATTGCAGGGGTGATGCTAAGCGGCTGCATGTCTTGACCTCCCTTGGCTAGAGGGGAGCTGGGTGGATATCTGCACTTTCCCATAATTTGCTTCCATTGCAAAAGAGGCTTCCAGTTTTTCTGTCTGATTCTCAGGGACCTTAATGTCTTTTAAATAATTTTGTTGATACCACCTGTATTTGCAGTAGCTGATATATGGGAACCAGACCTTGTCGAAATGATGGTGATTCAGCCTGATCTCTAACAATCCTTCTGTGTTGCATTAGATGCCCAGAAGAGCCAGATGGGCCTTTTCAATGAGAGACAGTTTCTAAGTCATAAGCAGTCTGTTAGGTGGGTTCTTATGTGTAAAGGAAGGCATCTAGTGACAGAAGGGCCAGATCAGGGTTTGGGTTCAATGCCTGACCAAATGATACTAGAAGCAGCAGCAAAAATCCTTTGCCAAACCCACATGGGCTCATCACACTCCCTTCGATTACATTGCTCTAATATGCTGCAGCCTCCCTGCCTGCTGGCACTTCCTCATCCTGATCTGAGCTAGTGCATGATGTCTTTCTCCCTCTAATTGGAAAGTGGGCACCTGGGCAGGCTGCAGAGTTTGGGAACTCCTTGGGTATTCTTGTAACCAATGGAAAAGCAGGGGGGATCTTTTTATTAATAGTTGAGAGCATAAATGACCGAAAGCAGCTGTGTAAGAGCTGTGTAAAAATTCATTGTTTTGTCCATGTGGTCAAAGCCAACAAGCTGTTTCAAGGTGGTGGTGTGATCTTTCTCCAAGAGGTACCCAGACCACGGATTCACACATGATGCTTTTCCTCCACGGAAGTCATTGCTCTGGGTGTCTTCCATATGGGGGCTGCAGAGAGGACCACCCTGCCCTAAACCCCTTAAAGCTACAAGTGCATGGACTGCTTCCCCACCCCCACCCCACTTTGCTGCACTGAATATTTTTTTGCATAATATTCTGTACACACCCACCCCCCAGGCAGTTAAAAAGCTTCTGCTTTTAAAACCCCAGCACGCCATTGAAGGCGAGGCAATCTCTGCTTATTAATCATTTCAACCTCCAAAGCAAACGGGATCCCAAATAATATAAGTAATTAACTTTATCTTGTTGACATGGCTGTTTATAACACAATGTCAACACTGGCTCTGCCAACATGGCGGAGTTGCTATTTACATAAACGGAGGGCTGGAGACAAGAGCCAGGCGGGGCTGGGGCAGAAGGAGACGACAGTCTGCTTTATGGATCAGGCAGACAGTGCGACTTACCTGGTGCCTTGCAGAATCACTGACTTCTCCTGGTGGGCAGATTCCTTCAAAATGTCATGTTTTTTTGATGCTGCTGATCTGATGGATCTCATGTATTTTTGGATGTTGGGATGCTTTTTCTGTCTAACTGCCTCAGTTGGGGATTCCCCTGCCTGCCCGGGGGGAGAGAATATAATTAATATTTGTGTGGTCCCTGAGGAGGGAGTTTGGCAGCCACCAGCAATGACTCTTCAGGGGATTGAACCTGGAAGTTTCTGCATGCGGTACATTTCT